AATTATCAGCTAGTTATCGAAATAAATGACTGAGACCATAGCACTTTACCTCGAGTGAATCTAGTTAGAGGGAATCACACAGCATAGTAACTCCATGAAGCAATGAAAATATATGCTTGCGAGATTGATCTCTAACCTCAACTTTCGATTAGGGGAAGTTAGCATTGATATAAATACAGGTTATCCATTCTATTCATAATGTTGTTTTTAAAATATCGTATTTAGTTAGTGCTACTTCTGGACTTTGTAGAGTTCGTTATTTTTGTACTTTCATCAGTTAATCTAGAATTCTACACCTGGGGTAAACTCACTAGTCAGCAAGTTTAAGCTGGCTTATTACGATAGATATATACTGCACTACCGGACTAAGTTAAGCCACGTTCACCTATGCCAATGTCATTGAAAACCTTTATTATTATTCCCAGTCTGTATTAAGGGTTTCAATCCCTCTAATTCATCTTTGAACTAAAACTTGATTGCATATCAGTTCATGGCGGGGCACTTCACACTAACACTGAGAGGGAACATTAATCAAATGAGAAGTAAAGAATTGCAAATATTACTAAGTGCAATGGAAGATTAAGTACGTGGAATATATATTCTAGAAAATCAATTCAGATCAAAGAATAAAAATAACATGTGTATAGCGTGTTTGAATGACTTTTGTCGATAAACGTTCACTGTCAACGAGGTTTAAGGATGGTAATATGGGTAGTCTAGGTGTCGGTGGTTGTCTTCTTGTTATATTGACATCACATGATAATACTATTACCTTTCAATTACTATAGGTCCTGTGCTTAATTCTGTCTTTTTACTTTTTAGCCAAATCCAAATACACTGATTTGTTTGCATGATCATGGTAGTCATATTATCTGCATGGATGAAAGTACACGTACTGCAATCAGAGACACGATATTGTTATTTGTACAACAGTTGGATATTCATTCAGTTGTTTGATGATTTATCAATATAACAGTATTGTTCCGTGTATTACTTATATTTGTATATGTGGATAACTTGTACTTGATTGATCAGCGTTCAGTGGTCAATATATATATATATATAATTTTTAATGGGATGAATATTTACAGCTAAGATAGACATCCATTCATCTGTGTTATCAGTTAATATCCTGTCTTCTGTATTTTCCTGGTGACATGATCCTGCTGCCAGTGATCTTGGCTTTCAATTAGTGAATCACTGTATCTTCTGCTCAGGTAGTCAAATATTTCCACAAGCAGTCGGATTGCTGGATTTTACTCACTTTGAAAAATATGCATAAAGTAACACTGGTAATGGTGAATTTCCTGACAATGAGTATAGTGATTCAATTGGTCTGATACATTTTCTCATTCATATGAATAATGTGCTTTAAAATGACTCACTAGTAATTGTAAATAGAAATTCAAGTGATATAACTAGGAAATTGACAAGAATTTAGTAGTCGTCCGTTCAACAAGACAGTCCAAGTATTGCTTACTGTGCTGAAGAGTGGCAAGCCTTTTGAGAGCCTTCTGTAAAAATACTTCAGAGGACTAGGTTGCGCCACTAGAATCCACTTGTTGAAAATTAACTCGGTCTGATTAATGGCTCGTGGTACATAACGTCATCCTACTATAGATATGTGCCCCTTAAAAGGTGGATATACATATAACTCTTGTTAGTTCTTAGGTGTAAATAGTTTAAAGCCATGGCTCGACAGTAAAGCTCTTGATGGTTGGACTAGTGAGTGTAGGGAGTCATTTTTATCCTCCAAGCAGAAGCTCATGGATGACCTGAGATGTTGCGCCTCATCACAATATGCTAGTTAATTATGCGACAGTGACATTAGGGTCGCTGAGATAACATTGCGTCGAAATGGCTTATCCATGTGAAGGTCGCAAACTTAGAAGTCTGTGTATGTTATATAATTAATAGATAGTGAAAGCCAACCACTAATTGACGAAAGCAACATGGCTTAGACAACAAACGACTTGTTCTGTGTTATGTATAAATTCCATGGTTATCGCAGTTATAACGCTCTACCAGTCGAACTAAGTTTTCCTCTCAATGATAGTTTAAACACGTTGCGGCAGTCTGGAATTAGTAAATGTCAGTTATGTGGTTGAGACTTAGAATTACATGAGCAGTCACTTCCCCAGTTAGCTATGAATATTAGCCGAGTAACATGAAGGGGGTCAACATTAGATGTTATGGTCATAAGCTACACAAGTTTGAGAGTGCAGAGAAGAGTCTTGACTCTCCTAGTTTTACATTCTAAACAAAAAGACAACCCAAAACAATAGCATGGATCCGGAATTACCCGCACTTGTGTGACTGTTTTACCGAGTATTAAATTTTCGTAACTGACCATTGGGTGCATCCCGTACTATCAGTTGGCTTATTCAAGGTAAATATAAGAAGATAAGTGAATTTCCAAAGCAGTTGGCAAAAACAGATACAAAAACAAGGTTTAAACGTTTTATTAACGACTCGATGGTATCAAGGCAGACTACATAGCATATTTACTGGAGTAGCAGTTGTTCCAGGTTGTGTTCTCTCTAGTGAAGGCTAGAAAGGTGTTGTGTTTCTAACTCCATATTTTCCACTCAACCTCAGAAAACAGGTGAGTAGAAAATCTGGGGACATCCATATGTAAAACTTATAACTAGGAGAATGATCTTTCGTGCCTTAAGGTAACCCTCGTGCTATTGATAGAAGAAACCAGACAAGTAGTGAATAGGTCTTTATTTCGCTCTTCACGCAGTTACAGAGGAGCGTGGGATTACCTGTACAGACAAACAAAGCCTCTCAACATTCAGTATAAGATAATAGGAAATATAGCGCCTATACAAAACAAGAAAGTGAATGAATACTTGAACAATACTGTTTTGGCATATGCTTGGTTGTTTGGGGTCAACTCCTAATCAACCAACCTAAGCTGTTACAGATCTGACACTGGAATCTATGCAATCTGTTTTTGTGTATGTATATGATATTCTGTTTAAAAAAATGCCAAACATTCTGAGGTCTGGTGGCAGGTGTTCAACTTTGATCTTGTCTTCATTTCTTTGGGACAACCTCTTACAGTGCTTAAATTATATAGCATTCCAAATTGGTGAAATGTCGTAATTGAGGTGATATCCACGGTGGTATCTTTACACGATAAAATTTCCAGATACAATTCCAAGAATTTGATATGCTCAACTGACAAAGTGGGGACTGCTGGTTTATATGGTAACTGAACCGAAACGCTATATGTTCTGTTTGACGTAGTTACCACCGTTCCATAACAGTTCATGAGATTCTAGCACAGAACACAGCCCATTAGTTAATATTCATGCCAACATACAGATCAATGAAGCTACATATATGTGTAGGTTTGTCCAAGAAGTATGTATCAATGGTTTCAGAAAATTTCTCCAGGCTTGTTATCTGTAAAATAAATCCTCATGCGCTATTACTCGTGGCGACACTAAGTTTCCCTACTCAATATATACTGACTTTACAGTTATAATGTGACAGCCTTGACCCTATAGGTGTCTGGATATGTGTAAGTGGATGAAGATCAGTTTAACCTTGTTGTTTTAACCAGCTCACCAAATTAGCGTGACTGAACTAACGTGGACACTTTCTCAAGTGTCCAAAGGCACTCTCGACTGATTAACATTTTATTTTGGTCTACAGGTAACACCTACAAGCCCTTTCACATAAAAAAAGTTACTAGAGGAAGAGATTATCACAATTTGAAGACATCCGGCAGTTGATCCTCAATGTATGCTCTTCTCTTACGTTTGTTTAAATGATTTGAGGGGGCAACAAACTGTCCCTGGAAACTTCTTCGTAATTGCAATTACCAATTTATAGATTTAATTGTCATAGAAACAAGAAGTTTTACAGCACTAAAAAGATATCTTGATGCTCACTGAAGTTCCGCAGGTGCTGACAATAATTACTTGGGTTGAGACGGCACGATCAATCCTACTTTTAATATCTAACTTGTTTTAGTCATCGGTTCTGGAAAAAAACTTCACAGTGGTCATACTTTTCCTCTGAAAAATTCTCTAACCTGATCCCAGGTCCCAAAAGACAAAAAGTTTAATTATTCTGGAGCACGAATTCTAAAGTTTGGGAGTCCTGGTGCCCTACGACTTAAAGTCTTATGCTGTGACAAAAATGCCTTCCGAGCAAACCTTGCACTGGTAACATTGAAGCGCATTTTTGGCCAGTTTGATATTAGGACTTTCCATATGATCTTTAATAGTCTTATCCGTCCCCATTTAGAGTACGGTAACATAGTATTTCCTCCCTCACTCCAAATAGATAAGGACACTCTGGAGCGTATCCAACGGCGAGCCACGAAATCAGTTCGGGGACTCAAATTTAAACCTTATGAAGAGCACCTCCAATCACTTAACCCTTACCCATTAGAGTATAGGCGTCTTAGAGGTGACCTTCAAATGGCTCGCAGTATCCTTAACATTTCTGGACATCCCCTTAAACATCTACTTATGCTTAGTCTTAATACAAACCTAAGGGGTAACACCCAGAAGTTGGAGACACAACATGGCAGAACAGACTGTAGACAAAACTTCTACTCCTTAAGAGTTGTCGAATTCTGGAAGTGATTGCTGACTGGAATGGTCCAAGCGACTTCTCAGGAGTCCTTTAAGAGGCAACTTGATCTATTCTTAAGGATTAAGGATATTATCATACTATGATTTACCAATTTCTTACCTAGGTTCCTGCATGGAGTTTTTGGTGATCCCCTGCTACTAGACACGAAAGCCTATTAAGTGAAAGCTTCTTCTGTTCCATCCACAACCACTTGAAGCGAATTGTACCTCCAATTGCTCACAAAAGTCAAAACACACAGTGAACCACTTGCATCTGCAGAATAGTAGCTTAGCCAGATACATAAAACCTTGGAAAAATACACTGTTTATTTAGTTCGATCATATTATGATTTCAGGCATTCAAACTGTTTGTTTATAATTTTCAAGGTCCCAGTTGTCAGTTTACATAACTTCGGCATTTATTTAAATAAGTTTTTAAAATCACTGATGGATGAACCAGCTAAAAAAGAGCAGGTAACTGTCGGCCTCTTTAATTACTTATTAGCAAGCATTTTTCGCATTCTGATCACGAGGAGGTGGTAGTACTTGAATCAAGCCATAGAACAAAACATAAGCATAAGTCTCGTCAGGTTTGTACTGAAATTTTTTTATATTTTATACAATTATATTAAGTTTTTTCATTCACCTGGAGGTGAAGAAATAAAATTAGCCGTGGCTCAACCAGATAATGATGAACCAACATTTCTGAAGCCTCCTGTAGCGAAAAAAAGAAAGAAGACATCAAAGAAACCTGCAACTATTCGCTCAAGTGAAATGGCTACTGAAAGTATTAAGAGTGGTCAGTTAATTTTTTCAAAGTATACATAAATTGCATTTTGTGGGTTTTTGGCTTTCCGTATTTTAAGGAGGCAAGTGAGTTGCTTCTTATCTGATCTATGTTTTGAATCTAGGGTTAGTATAGATCTGTAGTATCGACTGCTATGTTAAGGTCATACAACTTATTCTAGCTTTCGGATAGATTGGTTTGTTCATCCTTCTTTAGTCGCGCTTTGATCTCCCTAATTATTTGCTTATCAACTTAGGTTTTTTATGTAAGCATATGTGTTTATTTCCTATCTTAGTCATAATATACCCACTATAAATATCGATTCACGCTTGGCTCATATAGCTTCTCCACCGCGCGTCATCTAGTTTCGCTTCTCTTTCTCCTTTTTGCTCTGTTCCTTCTGTCACCTTGAGTGTCTGTTCTGATCAACGATTGTAGGAAATATACGCATTCAAACTCCATTCTCGTATTTGACTTATTTAATTCCTTTGTTCCCTAACGCGACTTAATTTGATGATTATATATGAGAATTAGTGACACATATGTTTCGATAGCAATCATTCATACGATATAAATGGAGTCAGACCTAGGGTCACTGTATACCTGTACATATATATCCATTCTTTTACATTCTCATACATCAGAAATAGAACAATTGATTTAGCTCCCCATTGTCTCGGGTTTAGGATTTACTTACGAAAATGCTGAAAATGCCCGCAAAAATGAATGTATGTAAAAACGAGTCATGATATAGAAAATAGTGATCAAAAAGTTATTATGAACTTGTAATCGTATAACGAATTACTGACAATCTCAACTAGTTTAAAACTTCGGCGATACAAACATGAACTTACTTTTTGAGTGTGCAGAATGATGTGATATGATGTAACAATAATTTAAGCATAAAATAAAATATTTAGTTGTATAGCAAACTAATCATCTGTTCACTACATCTATATTAATTTCTACTTGCGAATGGTGAGCTATCACTTTTAAAAGAGATCTTGAAGTAACTCTGCGGTCATTATACAAGGTTGTTAGAAACAATCACCTATTTGAGCTACAAATCTTTCACATGCCTAAATGGCATGATTGAGAATCGACCGGGATGGCGTTTACTTACAACAGCTGTAAAAGTGTATAATAGGTTTGTCGCAAAAATGAAGAAGTCAGATCTGCCCAAGAGAAATGAAGTACGTGTTGTGAAGCATGTGTATTATGTGGATAGTAATTACTGTAACACTTTAAAGTGTACAACGAAATAAACATGACAAATTTAATCACGTCTTGCAACCAATGACAAGAACTGCACAAGTTATGTGAGGTTATGAGAGGCATGATTAGTAAAATACAATCTACTAATTTGATGTTAATTAACCATTTCGATACTTTACTGCTTTCGAACAGCATTGATTCGCTTAGTACTCGAAATCAAAAATTGTTCCAGCACACCAGTAGCATCTGCCGCATAATGTGGCCTCATAAGATTCCTGTTTGTCTCAGCCTAATTGTTTACTCAGATGTCGTTGACAGTAAAGGTTAAAAATGTCGAATAGAGAAAAGAACTAGCTTTTCAGTCAGCTTTTCATCATAACTCTGTACATGAATAATGATGATAAACTACTTGTATAGAAATTTCTCCTCCCTATTGGTTCCTTTCATCAAATGTCAAAATGTGAAACTTTACATTGACGATGTTTAAACATCTAGATTTTGGATATAGTTTGATGACTAGAAATATTTTAATTAATGTACTAACTGGGAACTCCCGAAATAGTTCGATTTACAACAAGTAAAACTAGATGAGCACCAATAGACGTATTATATTTGGAATTCGTAATCAACGGGTAATTAAACATAAAGCAATCATTGTGTCGCACAAATTCTACATATGAATGGTCAAAATGGCCCCTAAGACATCCCTTATAGTCTTAAACTGAAGCCATGGAAAATAGAAATAGAACGCTCAAATTCATATAGAGAAAAATCTTTTTGCTATTTTCAACGTTAGATTCACGGGCCAACATAAGCTAGACCATCAGTGAAAATGTGAGCACTATGCTGCCGTTCCATCCTAATACGGGACTCCTCATCAGTGTACACCCACAGCCCTGCACGTGGGGCTCGAACCTATGACCTCCTGTTTCACGTGCGAACGCTTATCCATTAGACCACTGAGCCAGCACCTAACTGTGTTAATGTTTAACTACCGTCAATCTATGATCTTGCGCGACTCATCATCCATTGTCTGGGGTGTATAACTGTCTCATAACGGAATCCAATCCATGTCGGATGTGATATGAAAGTTCGCAGCAAACGATGACTGAAGGGTTGAGCAAGATCGTGGATCGATTGAAGTTAAGCATTAACACCGCTGGATGCTGGCTCAGCAGTCTAGAGGTCAAGCGTTTGCGCGCGAGACCAAGGGCCCTGGGTTCGATTTCTGCGTGAGAAGTCCTGTGTGCGCATGTCTGAGGAGTTTCATACTAGGACGAATTGGCCGTACTATGCCTCTAGGTTTTCAACAGTGGTCTAGCTTAGATTAACTCGTTAACTGGTAAGGATTGCCCAGGACAGAGTTGGGTGGTGAGTGTTGGTGGACGGTCTATGCTCCTCCGCGAGGAGTAACAGGAGTAAGTAAGTAAGTGAGTAAGAAAGTACCTATAAAACAGTTTCATTAAGACAAATAAATCTCATGTGTATATTTCATCGAATGTTAAGAAACCTTCCAGATAAATGTAGAGTCGAACAGAGTGTGCTATATTTCTATTAAACCTTGATATTATTTACTTGTTACTATACTATAGCGAAATAACTAATCCGGTTAATATAATACAGTTTTATAAATGAAGTTTGAAATATGGCTTCAAATTGGAATAGATATCTATTGAGGTTTGGTATTAAAAATTTATGCACGTCATAGCTAGTCACAAAGAAGCGTTTATTAACTTAGTTTTAACGTATATTAGCTAGATATATCTGATTTCATATGAAAAATAATAATCTTTTGTTAAAAATTCGAACAAACGTCACTTAATGCTGTCAAGATAAACAACAAATTTAAAGCGTTTTAACTAGTTAATTAAGACAATCTTTTGTGGCCCTCGGTCCGACTCCAATTAAATCGTATGAATGATTGCTGTCGAAATATACATGTCACCAATCTTCGTATACAATCATCCACCTGAATCGTGTTAGTGAATAACAAAATTAAATAAGTCAAATACGATAACAGATTTTCAAATACATATATTTTGTACACTCGTTGATCTGGAAAGATAATCAGAATGATGAAGTAAAGATAAGAGAGCGGAGCAAAATGACCCACGGCTGAGAAGGCATGTGATCCAACTCAATTTAGAAATAAATTACTGACATATAATGAATAGGATAAGAAGAGCACGCACATACACTTACATAGTAACACTCAGAGTTGATAAGCGAATAATTAACAAGGTCGAAATGTGAATTCAGAAGAATCAATAAACTAATCTTTTCAAAATCTAAAATAAGCTGGATGCGAATGAGTTTTGTGGAGATTTTAGAAATTTCACTGATTGAAATCATGAGTTAATTGAAGCTAGACCACCATGGAAAACCTAGAAGCACTGGACGGCCGTTTCTTCCTAGTAGGGGACTCTTCAGCAGTGCACATTGACGATCCCGCCCCCCCGCGAGATTCGAACCCAGGACCTATCAGTCTCGCATCAGGCGCTTAACCAACTAAACCACTGAGCCGGGATCCAACGGTGTTAATGTCTAACTTCAACTAGTCCACAAAATTGAGCGACACATCCACCATTGTCTTTAGTGAGTTCCTATTTCACAACAGACCCGGCTGAACCCTACTGGTCATTGCTTCTCACTAGAACCCCAAGAGTATCTCCTGAAGTCACTCACTAGTGAGCAGGTAATTATTATCAGAATGGGTTTTGTGGAGACTTTAGAAATTTCACTGGTTGAAATCATGAGTCAATTGAAGCTAGACCACCATGGAAAACCAGTGCTTTCAGGTTTTCCATGGTGGTCTAGCTTCAATCGATTCATGATTTCAACCAGTGAAATAAGCTGTATGCGTTTAACATAGCAACCAACACTACAGATCCAAGTGATAATTATATCACTTATTGGATTATTCAGTAACAAAGAATAGAATTAAAGATTTGTCAGTATGTAATCACTATGTATTTGTCTTTGTACATCTTGAAGTTTTATTTAGTAAGTAGTTATCCATTAAGAAATAGATCTTAGCTATATTCTCCACAGTTATCATTACACAGTGAAATACTGTTAAAAACAACATAATTTATTTATTTATCTTTTGTTTGATCCATTTAAAACAGTCCCTCCGGTAGAAATAAAACATCGTTCCATTGATAAAACAAGAAGTTTAATGGAAGAAGAGATTGTAAGTCAATATTTATCCATTCTGATGACTGAAACTTTAACGGTTCCGAAAATCTATCACATTATTGTGTTACATATCCAATAACTCTTGATTTAACAAATACTTTTAAGTTAAAACGTACATAACTATTTGATTGAGATTTTTACTAATTTACACATACTACTGTTATCCATAAGTTCATACGTTTTAAGATTGAAGCTATTCAAGATTCAAATCTTTAATCTTTATCCTGTAGCGGCAAATAAATCCCCAAAATAAATAGCTCCGTAAGTTTTCGACATTGGATGCTGACCACATTAGTTTTAATGAACTCACCTAGCTAAAGGCGATCGACCGTGCATCCGCACCAGATCACGAGTGGGAACGCCGTGCTCAACAACTCCTGCAATTGCTAGTCAGATTAGATCAGATGATCCTCGATATATTGATAGCCTATCAAATATATTTTCGAACCTTTTGGCTTCTGTCTTTTGATTTCACTTAGTGGGTATGATTCATATTAGAAGGTGTTACTGGTTAAAGCGTTGTCAAACTCCGAATACCTGTGGCATCTTCAATCCTTTCCATTCAACTTTTCTACTAATTAAGACACTGTTTATAACAGTTTATAACACTGTTTATAATATTAATTGAACTACTGAAAAATACTATCATATCATCTATGTAAGTTGGTGAACTTCTGATGTTCTAGAGCCTAAAGTAGTCTATGCATTTTATGTTTTATGGATTAATAAATTATTTTTTAGTGTAATTACTATTCTACATATAAACATATTGAATTTTTAATAGCCAAAATTATGAGTCAATCGATGCTAGACCATCATAGAAAACTTGAAAGCATTGGACGGCCTTTTCATCCCACTGTGGGACTCCTCAGCAGTGCGCATACACGGTCTCGCTTCACGAGATCCAAACCCAGGGCCTGTCAATCTCACAAGCGAGCGCTTAGCCATTAAACCGTTGAACCGGCGTTTAACGGTGCTAATATCTAACTTCAACTGATCCACGAAATTGAGCGATATATCTATCATTGTCATCAGTGAGTTACTATCTCACAACTGATCCGGTTGAATTCCACTGGTCACTGTTTCTCACTAGAAATTCAGAAAATACCTCTTGAATCCAGTCACTAGTGAGCGTATGTTGATTAGTATCAGAAGGGGTTTTGTGGATATTAAAGTAATTTCAATGGTTCATATCATGAGTCAATTGAATTTTAATAAAAAGGGATTATCTACCATCTAAAATACAAAAAGATATTGATTTACTAAGATGATAACCAAATTTATGAACTTTAGTTATCCATAATCTTTAAATTCAAGTTTTGTTGAAAGTATCAAGATAAAAGTGTCTTGCCTTGCCTTATGCCTGTTACTCCCAATCGAGCATAGGCCGCCGACCAGTATTCTCCAACCCACAGTCTACTGGACCTTTCCTTCTCGTTCTTTCCAATTGCTGTTCATTCTTCACATGTCTATCTCCATTTCTCAGCATAATGTGTCCTTTGCTCTTCCTCTTCTCCTTTGGCCCTCAGGATCACATGTGAGGACTTGCCTTGTGATGCAGTTGGGTGATTTCTCAAATGTTTGTCCTATCCACTCTCTCCCATAGTAGGTTGTTACTGATAGTGTCTGGTCAACCGATCTGAAGTGTTTTGCGTAGACAACTATTAATAAACACTTGCATCTTCTGGATGATGGCTTTCGTAGTTCTCCAAGTTTCCGCTCCATCCATTAGAACTATCTTGGCAGTTTTTTGAAAATTCTGACCTTGGTGTTGACTGACAGACTGCTGTTTTGAGTTCCAGATATTCTACAATAGTAGATTAGTTGCTCTTGTTTTGCTGATCCACGCCTTCACATCTCCATCAGATCCACCGTGTTCATCAATGATGCTGCCCAGATATGTAAAGGTATTTACATCTTCCAAATCTTTTCCGTCAATTGTGACTGGATTGATGCATGTTGTGTTGTATCGCAGAATCTTGCTTTTCCCTTTGCCTATATTGAGACCTACTGCTGCTACACTGGTCGTCTTTGCTCGCATTTATTATTGCGTGTGCGATAGAAGAGCCAGATCATCTGTGAAGTCTAGTTCGTCCAGCTTCATTCTAGCTTCATTCTGTCTAACAATACCCTGTTGAAGACTTTTCCTGGTGTTGAGAGAAGAATGACGCCTCTGTAGTTATTACACTTACTGAGATCGCCTTTCTTTGATATTTCGATCAAAAGTCCTTCTTCCCAATCTGTTGGTACTTGTGCTTCATCCCAAATGTGTGGGAATATGGTGCCGCCTATGACCAGTTTATTGAAGGCACATAGGTTTGCAAATCTCTCACCATTTTCGTTCCTTTCTCCAAGTCCGTGTCGTCCTATGATGTCTTCATATCCGGTGTTGTCCATTCCAACCTAGGCATTGAAGTTTCCCATCAGAATGGTCAGGTCCTTTGTTGGGCACTTTCCGACGATTGACTGTAGCCTATTGTAGAATTGATCTTTAGCGTCTTCATTGTGGTCGTTGATGGGCGTATTACATCAGATTACGTTTATTGAAATGCCCTCTTTCTTTGTTTTTAAGGAGGCTTGGATGATCCTTGATCCATGAGATTCCCATCCTGTAAGTGCATTTTGTGTTTGTTTAGACAGCATCAATGCAACTCCTTGTGTATGTGGAGCATTTTCTTCTTCTTTAAAGCTAGTCGTTGTTGTCCAACTCGCATTCAATGTGTTTCACTGATTCCAAGTACCTCTAGGCTGTATCTCCTCATTTCTGCATCAACTTTGATGACTCTCCCAGTCTCTCACAACGTACGAGCATCCCACGTACCTACATTGATGGTTGATCTAGTTGTCAGAATGGGCATCAGCCTCGTGACTCCCGAAGGAACTCGGCTTTCATTATGAGGCTTCATCACTCTTCTAAATGAAGACCTTCTGACTCTGACTGGCTCAGTACAAGCAATGAAGATTGTAGCTTCATTCAAATATGTGGCTGTGTATAGACTGTTGAAAAGTTCAGTAAACTTTAAATTTTCATACCTTTTTAGTTACTATCAGTCTACAATTCGAACTGAATTAAACTCCATTAGATTTATATAATTCATGTTATATACTTGTAAATTTAGAAAGATCCAGTTGTTCAACAAGACAATCAATCAATTTCAACTTCATCACCAATGAAATATGAACAGTCAAAACAATTTTCTAAATCAAAATCATATTATCCATTACCTGAGAGAATGCAACGGTTACGTAAAAGCACAATATTAGGTGAATTGTCAACAAGTCCTGATGTAGGTAAATGTTTTATCAATTCGTTTTCTTTCTTAAGTTAATAGATTTCATATTTAATGAAGTAACTAAGATCACTTTCATAAATATAGTTGCCTTGCTCTGTTTAAGATCGCTTTGATGTAATACTAAGAATATAGTGGACAAGAACACAAGTAGGGGCAATCGAATGTATTTGTACACGAAATTACAGAATATCTCATTAAAATCCGAGACTTACTTATTTACTTACGCCTGTTACTCCAAATGGAACATAGGCCGCCGACCAGTATTCTCCAACTTACCCTCTACTGGGCCTTTCTTTTATAATTTCATCCAATTCTTGTTCATTTTTATCATATCTATCTCCATTTTTCGGCCTAATGTGTTCTTTGCTCTTCCTCTTCTTCTTTGGCCCTCAGGATCACGTGTGAGGACTTGCCTTGTGATGCAGTTGGGTGCTTTCCTCATTGTGTATCCTATCCACTTCCAGCAATCCTTCCTGATTTCTTCCTTAACTGAAATCTGGTTTGTTCTTTCCCATAGTAGGTTGTTACTGATAGTGTCTGGTCAACCGATCTGAAGTGCTTTGTGTAGACAACTGTTAATAAACACCTGTATCTTCTGGATGATGGCTTTCGTAGTTCTTCAGGTTTCTGCCCCATACAGTAGAACTGTCTTGACATTTGTATTGAAAATCCTGACCTTGGTGCTGGTTGACAGTTGCTTTGAGTTACAGATGTTCCTCAGTTGTAAATATGCTGCTCTTGCTTTGCCGATCCGCTCTCTCACATCTGCATCAGATCCACCCTGTTCATCAATGATGCCGCCCAGATATGTAAAGGTATTTACATCTTCCAAATCTTCTCCGTCAATTGTGACTGGATTATTAAAGTCTGAGAACCATACAGTAAATACTTAATTTGCTAAATCTCAATCAATTGTCTCAAACTTGACTGTTCCTGTTGTAAACATCAGTCCATCGTCTACAATTTCATTGCTCGCGCATTTTCATATCAATTGCTTTCCGTTTTTGTTCTTTCCTTCTCGATCTTCTACTGAAATACATTCTTTCCTGACCATTGTTATATAATACTTGTGTGGATATAAATAGCTCACATCACAAGAATACCATAGCGGTAAACGTTCCGTATGATTTTTGTTAGTTCCAAACTGAAGTAGTAGACTTCCGAATTCTTTTTTTTTGAGTTTTTAGGCATATGGCAGAATAATTAAACAAAACTTTAAAGAAATTATTTTTCATCTGTTCATTTTGAATAGGGATAATGGAACATAGTTAATAGATGGTTTACAAATTCAGGTATTGTATCTCAACTTAGTAGTTGAATGCTATTGTACATATTGTGAGATATCAAGACCTTGTAATCGATCAGATATGAGATCTTATGTTTAAGTAGATATTGTGTGTTCAGTAGTTTTTAGTGGTTGTTATCTTACATAGTTTACTATGAAAACTATGCTTAGGTATACATGTGTGATGTATGCTACTTATGTCTGTCGACAAAGATAAGTAGTATGTAACACCGATCAAAAGTAGAATACCTGTCAAAAGAAGGTCGAGCAGATTGAACTGAAGAAAACATGTATCAAACATAACTGTTAATATCTGATTATCATGTATTCTTTACTAATCAGGATAAATAATTAAGAAATTGTATATATCCACCGTCATAGTGTAACTCTGCCTGAGTTATTACTAGTCCCAAGCTGTAAGATTTACGACTGTTATAGTAAATCTTACAACGAAGTATGAGTTAACATCACATTATTTACAAGAGTTATTAGTGGGATATACATTAGACTAAAGTATATTCCATGCATGATTGTATTATTACACGCTGATTGGCTATTTTTTATCCAATCAGCGTTAGCCGATACGCGAAGCAGACGGCGAGACTATAATTTGTGGATGAACCAATCAGATTTAAGATAACATGTGTCGGATTTTGGTACGAAATTCACTCATCCATTTGGTTAGATAGAGTTTTGTAATTCTTCACACAGGTTGATAACCCTCATGAGGTCATGATTATTAAGTGAACACGCTTAAGGTCAGTCTAACATCACTCAGAGGTCGTCCATAAATTATAAATTCACCGAGTTTTGTTCTCTGAGCTAGGTGATTTGGTCATGGTGCTTTCATCGTTCTTCTGAATGATATCATCAGCACAAACTTTACTTCTACCTGAAATTTGTACTGATGATGTCATTCGGTAGAACTATGAAAGTTCCACGACCAAACCATCCAGCTGAACGAACAAAATTACATACATACATGCATACATATAACATCATTTTGTTTATTTAATCATTGGTTTTTTCTACTTTTTTCTGTTTGCACATAGTTAAGTTTAAGTGATTTAAAAGAAAATGAAAATTTTAATGAAATAACTAATGATGAATTTTTCACAAAAGAATGGTATGATAATACTAAACAAAAACATACTACTTATGATTTGAATTCAATAACAGAATCACATAATTTAACAATGGATGAATTGCAATCGAAATTCTTAAAAGATAAACATCATAAAAGACTTTCAAAGAGAACACAATCAAATATGGAAGAGAATTTAACTGAGGTAATGATTGGTTCATAAATTGTAATGTCAGTTACTATGTTATGCCCATACACTTTATTCTACCTTCTGGACAGGTCAAGCTACTTTTTGATTTTCTTAATTTTTCACTGCTGAGGAGTCTGATAATGGGACGAAACGGCCGTCCAGTACTTCTAAGTCTTCCATGGTGATCTAGTTTCAATTGACTCATGATCTCAACTATTGAAATTACTACCATCTCCGCAAAATCCCTTCTGATACTAATTATTCACTTGCCAACCTTGACTGTTTTGTTATATGAGCGTATATGTGTGTGTACAATCTTAATCTTATTCATTACACGTTTATAACTTATTTTTATTTGATTATAAATATCGATGAACGCTTGATTAAATCGAGTTGGCTTATATACCTTCTTCATTGCGTGTCATTTCATTTCTGCTCCCTTCTTTTTGCTTCGTTCCGCCGATCATTTGTCTAGATTATTGATTGTATGAAGTATATGTATTTGAACTTCTTTCTTGTATTCAACTTATTTCAATTCTGTTATTCACACTAATGCAACTTAATTCAATAATTTTATATGAGGATTGACGATATGTATATCTTAATAACAATGAAACATATGATCTAATTGAAGTCAGATCTCGGCCCACTAAAGTTAAGAACATATCGACAACATTATCATTTGATCTAACAATCCATTAAACATACACAATTTAAGACTGGAGTTTAACTCCAGACTGTATTTTAAATAGCTTACTTTGTTTATTATTATTATTATTATTATTATTATTATTATTATTATTATTATTATTATTATTATTATTATTATTATTATTATTATTAGTGGCTTTATTTAATACTACATGTTTAGTACAATATAGAATTGTCAGCACAAAGTTTTTCAACGAGTTTCCATTTCTTACTTCTTGGTCGATCCTGATAATAAATACTGAGTGGTTGCCAGTTAGAAGTTAACAGTCCAGTTACCTTTATATCTCTGATTAAGCCTTTTGGTAACTTGTACAGTGAAAAGTTGTACACTTATCACAAATATGCACTTGAATAGGTTATTGTGATTAATAGGCATAATGATATATGAATCCAAATAAACAATATAGATAACTTATTGAAATATTTAGATGATAGAGAGGGAGGAGGGAGGAAAAGGACAATTAGCTCAGATATTCAAACAGATTACCTTTTACCGCTACTTCATTTAGTGTTTTCATATTTCAACAGTTGAGATCATGAGTCAACCACCATGGAAAACCTGGAGGCACTAGAAGGCCGTTTCGTCCTATTATGGGACTCCTCAGAAGTGCGCAACTACGGACCTACATCGCGGGATTCGAACCCAGGACCTATCAGTCTCGCGCCAGGCGCTTAACCAAAGGTGTTAATGTCTAACTTCAACTAATCTACGAAATTGAGCGACATATCCACCATTGTCATCAGTGAGTTACTATCTCACAACTGACCCGGTTGAACTCTACTGGTCACTGTTTCTCACTAGAACTCCAGGATATACCTCTTGAAGCCAGTCACTAATAAGCATATGTTTCTTTTTTCTTCATTTAATATCATTTTTATATTGATCAAATATTTCATTTAGATAAATCAAGAAAATCAACCACTTCTAGGAATTGCTGAAAGAACAAAATATGATCTTTTAGTATTTGGACGGTCATCATATTTATCTAATCAAGAAAGAATTAAATATGAATCAAAATTTCTATATAATCCAACTGATATAGAAGGTAATATAGAATGTTTATTTTTATCTGTATAAAGGTTGTGGAGATGAGCCAATTGATGTTAAATCATTATGGAAGCACTGGACAGCCGTTCAGTCACGTCCTATTGTAGGACTCGTCAGCAGTGCGCATCTACGATCCCAATAGAGGGATTCAAAGAAAATTGTGAATGAGATAGATATTTATATAATCAAATTGTAAACAAGCTTTCTAGTTAGTAATTAATTGGATATGGTTAATGATAAGCTGGATCAATGATATATATGCTAGATATATGAGAGTTGTTGACGAGCTCATGATATTGGTTAAGATTTAATCTAACTTTTTAAAGAAAAAGACATACACTATTGATTAAGAAGAAAGTTTAAGTTCCTGAAGAGCTTGTAACTGTGTCAATGGTTGAGACATGTATTTATATTTTCTGTTTGGAATAATCAGTAAATATCTTCTAGTCACTCTTAGTATTCACACTAAAGTAGCAGGTTGTGCATACACATGACTCTCCCTGTCTCCCACATTGTACGAGCATCCTATGTACCTAAATTAATGGTTGATCTGTCTGTCAGTAGTGACATCAGCCTCGTGACTTCTGAAGGAACTCGGCTTTCATCATGAGGCGTCATAACTCTTCTAAATGATGACCTTCTAACACCCATGGCACAGTTTAAGTGATTTGAATTATGTATTATGGTTAGCGTTTTTTAGCGAGTTAGTTTTGTACGGAATGAGGTCGCTAACTCCATACTCAACCCTTCTTCGTTATCCAGGCTTATGACAGGCAGTAGCCCCAGGGGGGCTCCAGGCGGACACATATAGGAAGCTTATATATCAGATGTAGACTCAGTTGACAGTAGAATGTGTACACTTGAATTAAGAATCAACTCATATAGCCTGTAATTCAATGTGGTGAAAATGTTGTTCACTTCAGATTCAGATTTCAGATTTGTGTAATAAGGACAGAAGGCCTATGACCTATGTTATTCTTTTTCTAGTATGCTTCTATGAGTATCTAGTCTTTCGTTGAATGAGTCAATTGAAGGTGCAGACAGCACTGCTTCGGGCAACAAGTTCCAAGAATTGTTGACTTGGTGTGAAAACCTGTATGTCACGGGTATTTTGTTCGTTCCTCTGAGATATCCCAATCTAGTGATTTGATTCATTTTGATACATGGTCAGAACAATCTTATTAGGATAGTTTATTCTATCTTTGAATCAATTGGAACAAAGTATCAAATCCTTTTACTCATTATAATTTTTGATTAGTTAAAAATGTTTCTAATTTGATTTAATAATTTTCCAATCACAGTTCAATAATGGTTAAGTTACAAAAAAAGCACTATGAATGAATTTTTAGTACTCATAAATGGATGACGTCTAAGTTGAACCTACTTCATAACTATCAGTATGGGGTTGTGGAATTTATTAAGTTTTTGATCGAGATCATGAATCGATTGATGTTAGATCATCATTAGAAAACCTGGAAGTACTAGACGGCTGTTTCGTTCTACTATGAGGCTCCCCAGCAGTACGCATACACAATCCCGTTCGAGGGATTCGAACTCAGGACCTTTGGTCCCACGCGCGTACTCTTAACCTCTAGACCGGCATCTTCAACCAATCCACGAAATTATGCAACCATCTTCTATTGTACTGAGGTAGATACCTGTCTCTACCCAACACGGATTAGCTCCACTGACCACGGCTTCTCCCTAGAATTCTGAGGATTCCCTATTTCATAACATTCTGCTGAGCTGTCCATTCTCTGGGGAAAAATCTATTGCAGACTCTATCATTTTTGATTGCTAACAAATTACTAAAATGTAATCAGTAGACTATAACTATGTAATAATTATAAGAGATTATTTTTACGTGAAGTAGCCTCTAATGGTGGTGTCAAGAAAGACAATAAAAGCTTTATAATTAAATTACTAATGTTTAATAGATTCATGAAGTGATTAACTGTTGGTCTAAGCCATGTCGGTAGATTCAGACTACCTAGTTGCGGTCCACAAGACAACTATGATTAACTCAAAGTCCACCGGTATGGCGCAGATAGACTCACTAATTTATCTATCTTGCCATCTTAAATGTCACCGTTCCTTCATGCATGTCTTCTAACTTTCTTTTCTAATCATTTTCTTGACGTTCATTCTTTCTCTCTTGCTATATGTCTTGTTAATTTTATTTTTTACTAATGTGGTACGGTGACTTAGGCCTATAGGAATTTATGCCAGACTCTGTTCAGATGATGAATGACTGACTGACTAAAAAGTCAAGCCGAAATAGAAATGAAACTCAGGATATATATGCCATCCTACTCTTTAGGGTTTGACTGCCGGATACAGCCAGTCAGTCAGCACATATATGCATCGGTCCAAGTTGCCATACCCCAATAGCACAGCAAGATCAACACCGGATTCATAGGAGTAGTTAGGTCAATGGTGGTAATATATAAAAGAAAGATTTCAATAAGGATATAATACAGGAAGAAAGAAATAGTTCGTAGAATGAAAGATATGAAGCGATTTTAATCTCTCAGTTTAAGGGAAGACAGAGAGTGTATACACCGACGCCATTGTGATCGATTCTGAGCAATGTTACACACAGTCTCCAACCATTGGTTACGATAGTCACGCGGATCCCAACCAACATCATTACCTAATACCCGCGTCTAACCTCACCACTACTTACGCGGTGATATCAGTAGATGTGAGCAAGATTTCTAAGACATCTGTGGTCAAATATTAGTAGTTTACGAGTATGTTTAACTCTTAATGGCCATGTTTATTAGTCGTAAAGTAGAACAGAACGAACTGCCGCGCAGTATACTTGTCCTTTTATTGATAGACGGATATCTCACCTCCACCATAGATGACGTAAGTACCCATTGTCTCCAACTTTCTTGAGGATTACCTTCGTATAGCACCAGGTTTTGGTCAAAAAGATAAGTCCAAAAATAGAAAAATCCTTGTTATAAATTCTACTGTTGGATGCTGATCATAATATGATCAATTATTTATTAAAGCTTATATCATCGTTCAAAATGCTTAAGATCTAATTTATGAATGATTAAACTATTGTATTTTATTCAAGTTCCTATTGAATTGAAAACTGGCGGTAAATTACCACGATATTTGGAAGATGAAGGTTATTATATTGGTAAACAACCATATGTAGCTCCAACCAATTTACGTCGTTTAGAAAATCGTATTTTAAAAGAAATTCAAATGGATGTATATGGATTAAAATCTTTAAATGATTTTCATTCAGCTGATATTCAATTAATTAATGGAACTTTACAAGATCAAGAGTTAGAACATAAAAAACGATTGAAAATTCAAGTAATTAATTGATTATTGTTCAATATCAGATGAGTTTTGTGGATATTATAGTAATTTCAATGGTTAAGATCATGAGTCAGTTGGATGCTGTTGGATGCCGGCTCATTGATCTAGTGGTTAAGTACTCTCGCGCGAAACCAGTAGGTCCAGGGTTCGGATCTCGCAGGGGGCGAGGTCGTGGATGCGCACTACCGGGGAGTCCCACAATGGGACAAAACGGCCGTCCAGTGCTTGCAGGTCTAGCTCCAACTGACTCATGATCTTAACCATTGAAATGATTGTTGTTCAGTTGAGATATTTATGAAAATTATTTTATCAATATAGGGATTGTGGAGATTATTATATTTTTTAAAATTGAGATCATGAACCGATTGATGTTAGACCACCATTGGAAATCTCGGAGCACTGGACGGCCATTTCGTCTCACAATTTCGTGGATTGTTTGATGTTAGACATTAAAACCATTGGATGCCGGCTCAGTGGCCCAGTAGGTTAAGCGTTCGCATACGACACTGAAGGACCCGGTTTCTAATCCTGCGAGCGGGATTGTGGATACGCACTGCCATGAAGGAGTCCCACAATAGGACGAAACGGCCGTCCAATGCTTGCAGGTTTCCAATGGTGGTCTAATATCGATCGGTTCATGATATTAATTTAAAAAAATTATTTTCATTATATGGAGAAACTAGCCAGATGAATACTACTGATTAGCGAGTCCTGTACAACCTATTCTATTTTAGTAGTAAGTTTCCATAAAAGTAAATGGAATCTGACCTCATTTTTCATGGCAAACCTATTTCATTTAAACAGTTAATCCATATTCAATGTTGTATATATTTTATCTCCAATCATTTTCAATTATATTGGGACGACGAACTATTATAATTGATATAATTGTTACTATCAGATTCCATCAAACACAAAATTTCCATCACAATAGTTAGAATCTATCTTGAAGCTTTCAGGATTATCTGAAGGAATTAGTGATAATTCTTTTAATTGAACGCTAGATTCAGTTCCTAAACTCTTTTAGTAACCCTCAGAACAAATCTACACAGTGACTTGAACACGAGAGAAAAGATGCGAAATATACAAGAAACGCTTCACAGTAAAGGTTCGCTGATATACAAAAATTCTAGCGTATTTATGGTATTTCAAATGACCTTGAGCTTTCGGAAATTTCTGAAACGCTGCTAAACATAGTAGCAGTATAAATAATTATTCAATCTTTTCGATGTATTTTTGTTCTCTGAACTAGATAGTTTGGTCATGGAGCTTTTATCGTTCTTCTGAACAATGACAGATTTAAGGTCAACAATAATCAATCAACGTCGAGGTCTACAGGACAAGCTGTGAACCACATGTTGAGAAATTCGAACACTTCACTTCTACCTAAATTTTGTGCTGTGTCTGATGTCGTTCAGAAGAACGATGAAAGCTCCACAACCAAACCATCCATTTCAGAGTATAAAACTGCATTAAAATCATCCATCTGAGCTACAAATCTTCTCTACCATGTCAATCATCCAATCGGAAACTCAACATGTGACTTTTTACTTTCTAGATGTTTCTGACAAAACATTTATTGATTGCTGATTGGACAAGGTGCTTGTTGGGGTTTTCAGAGCCTTTGTTGGCTGTTTTTGCGAGGAGTTTTCTGGATCTTTTCAACAATTAATTCATGTAAAAGATGAAATTTTAAAACATTCTTTTTAGCCTATATCAATTCACGAAGAAAATTATCTTTATAATGATATATTGTTGAAAACATTTGTGTGTCTTGCGCTGACTTTTTTAAAAGGACGTAATGAATGTCAACATTTGTGAATTGGATATATTACTTACCAATTAATGAAACAACAAGTTGTGTACTGTGAAGCTCTAAACTACTAACCTTTATAATCAGAGAGAGAGATCTTATGTATATTACTGTGGTTTAATAGTTGAATTCATGAATCAATTGAAGCTAGATCACTATAGAAAACCTGGAAGCACTGGATGGTCGTTTCATCTTAGTATGAGACTCCTTAGCAGTGCGCATCCAGCATCCATGCGCGCTACCGAGAGATCCTTGGTTCAAATCTCGCAAGGCGCGATTGTGAATGCACACTGCCACGGAGGAGTCTCATACTTGGATGAAACGATCGTTCAGTGCTTCCAAGTTTTCCATAGTGATCTAGCTTTAATTGATTCATGAATTCAACTATTAAATTACCAATCTTTATTTTTAAAAATGTATATTGTTTAACATGTATCTAACTTGTATCATATTTATCCCTATGTATCTTATTTTCTTATAATTTTTAGTCATGGTTTCGAGAAGATGGTTCACTTGATTTACAACCGAATCCTTTACGAAATATTCCATCAAGACCACCTTTATGGGATGAACAATTTAATCCAATACCTGAAAAATTACAAACAGTTTATTTACATGTAAGTGTAAATAGCATTATTATTATTAATTAGTTTGTTTAATTGCTAATATCATATACTGATCTCAATAGGGGAACTGTAGGTAAATGGTGAGTGTTCTAAATGTGTTTCATCAACCTTGCAGATTAGTTTATTTCCTCAATATTTGATTCCAATAATAATAGTATCCCGTTAACTGAGTATTTAACTCAGGTTAAATCTCTTAGTTACTTACTTACTTATGCCTGTTACTCCTAATGGAGCATAGGCTACCGATTAGCATCCTTCTCCAACCCATTCTCTACTGGGTCTTCCTTTCTAGTTCTATCAAATGGTTGTTCATTCTTCTCATGTCTGTCTCCATTTTTTGGCGTAATGTGTTCTTTGTTCTTTCTCTTCTCCTTTGGCATTGAGGTTTCCAAGTGAGGACTTGCTTTGTGACGGAGCTGGATGCATTCCTCAATGTGTGTCCTATCCACTCCCAGCGCTCCTTCCTGATCTCTTCCTCACATTGGATCTGGTTTGTCCTCTCCTACAGTAGGTTGTTGCTGATATTGTCTAGCCATTAAATCCAAATTATTTTGCTTAGACAGCCATAGAATTATTCAGAAGCCTAAACACCAGTTACAGAAATAATTTATTGTTAAAGGTTAATAAAATACACAAGAATACAGAGATCAGGCACACAGGGAAACGAGTGCGTATGTGTGTGTGTGTTTAATATCCATATATATAATTATGAGTGTTAATCGATTGTGGACAAATTATTCATTGTTTGTATATTACAACCAATGGGGGAATAAATGAAAGATGGATGTGCAGATATGCGCTTAAGCAGACTCACATGGAAATTAACATAGTGGATTAAATTTCTAAATTAGAGTGAGTAGACAAATAATAAAATAGTTGACTGGAGTTACTACAAACCTTTGAAAATCAAGAAGTATTGAACAGTCTGAGATCTAAACTGTTATATTGATCATATTACTATAATTAAATTTAAATTCACCCCATTGTACAAGCCGGTAGTTATTAGGATTCAGTAGCTAAGTGGATAACGTGATGTTTGAAGCGAACGAGTCCCAGAGTGAACATCAACTCTGAGATTCAGGTACGTCTAGCTGATGAGTCCCAAATAGGACGAAATCTGCGTCCTGGATTCCACTGCTAGCCATTATCCATCTTTGATTACAATCCTTGTGAATTAAGGTAATGTCGAGGCAATACGCACAGTATGCATATATGCCAATAAGAGACTGATAAATTACAGTCCTAAATAACGATGGGAAGATACAAGTAAAATAACACCAAATGAATATTAACTTCACCCCATTTCACAAGCAAGGGACTATCATGATTCAGTAGGTTAGTGGATAACGTGATGGCATTTTAAGCCAATAGTATTGTGTTCAAGTCCGAACATGAACATCAACTTCGAGTTTCAGGTACATACAGCTGACGAGTCCTAAACAGGACGAAATGGCGCACGTCCTCGATCCCACTTCTAACCACTATCCATCGTTGATTATATAATTAACTTTGATTTTAATCAACAACAACAAAAAACCCAACTTAAATCATTATTTATAACATTTATTTGTTTTTGCTTTTTTAAAGCCAATGTCATTTGAAATGACACAGAATCTTTTCAATATGGAATCAAAAGGCTTAACGTCAGAAAATCTGTCAACCGCTTTAACACAATGTAAACATATTGGTTTATTCAATAATAATAATGGGAATACTGAATATCGTTTACATGTGGATATTCGACGCGTTACATTTGATTTTCATCCATTATTTAGTTTAGAACATGTTCATGTACAAAACTTACGTCAAATTATTCAAGCATACGAATTAACATTATCTAGAGATCAAGTGAATGCATGTATTCAACGAGTAAGTTCAATGATTGTTATTTGTTTCATTTTTATAGATAGTTTATATCTCGAGTTGATTTTCGTGAAGATAATGATTTAAACACAATCGTTGCTGCTACCTTGATTTGACGGTTGGGCTTGTCTATGGTGATAAATCAATCGAGCTATACTGGCTGGTCCTACCATGTTAGACAGGTCGGTTGAAGAGCGGTAAGAATAAAAGTAACAAATCCAAGATTCGAGGGAAAAGTCGTACTGTTGGTTGTACAGAATTGTGATGGCATTAAGGTGTCTCCTTTAGACATACGGCATGACAGCGATGTTGCCTTCTCACAAGTTGGAGTGGAGTTAGAAAAGGTCGAACCTAAAGACGAATACCTCGCTTTATCTCACGGATATCCATCTCTGGCGGTAAGGTCTCAACAAGTACGTAGCTAACACGGTAACTACTCACAAAAAAGTCGTGTGTGACCAACCTCTGTCAGTTGTCCCTTAGGCACTGCGGTCACGCTCTCAGGTCACTATGATCACCCCTAAACCAACTTCCTACTCAGGTACCTCCAGAAGAATACTTCCATGATGTGGGCAACCGGGAAGTGATAACCACCCTCATACCTCTAACAGCACTCAAGAAGGACTTCAAACTACAAATACCTATTTCGTGCTAGTATGTGACATGTCATCAGTCCTCATCCATACTGTCACTTAGAAGTGAACTCAAAAGTTCAGAGCTTTTGAACTAACCGGTTAAGTTGTTTAAGTTAAAATTTTACTATTGTTTTTGGCCCTAATCCTTGTTCGTAATATAATCAAAATATCATGTAATATCTTTAGAGTGTACATTTCTCCTGGTTAACGCTTCACTGCCAACTACAAAGTTATTGTTAGAGTATTTCATTTAAATAGTACTTTAATGTTTAGGTTTTTTTCTATGGAACATACATTTCGAATATATCATGGTATTTATTGTACTTGATATAATAAGCGCTTAATCTGTACAGTTGTTTTTTAAAGTGTATCATACTGACTATCGAAGTACAACTGTATCAATCACTAGACCGATTTCTTCTATAAAATTACACATAGTTTCACTCAAGCTATGGATAATACAGAATATCGGATAAGTCGTATATAATATTTAAAGAATATTATCCTCAACTGGAACTAATTTTTTTTCCGAACAACAAATCCCTCGAAGCCAAGCCATTACCAAAATTTACTTTAATAATAAATACTACTTTTTAATGTAAATAAGTAGTTAAGTACAAATAATAAAAATCTAAAAATCTGCTCACGATAAATGATGCGATTGGCCAACGAATTAACACTGGAATTCAATGAACCAGTAAATTAACCATCAAAATTCATCTTCACTTACATAGATCTCATATAGTTACTTGATTTAGCTAAAAATAAATGATATTTATACGAGATAATTATTTACTCATAGATACAATTAATTATGACACTTTCCAGTACAAACATCAGCTTCTTAAGCTACTAATCAAATCGTCTCTATTATAATCCTCAAAAATATAGCAGTTGATTATCAACATATGGCTCACTTGTTAGGAAGTTTAATAAAGGCAGCAAAATTCTCAATAGACGAGGTTTGTATCTAAATTTCATTTGAACATAAAAATTAAATTCCGATAAGCCTAATCAAATACTTCAGTAGTTGAGATCATGAGTCAGTTTAAGATAGACCACCATGGAAAACCTGGAAGCTTCTAGGTTTTCTGTGGTGGTCTAGCTTCAATTGACTCATGATCTCAGCTATTAAAATTACTATAATATCCACAAAAACCCCTTCTGATATTATTCAACATATGCTCACTAGTGAACGGAGTCAAGAAGTATATCCTGGAGTTCTAGTGCGAAGCAGTGACCAGTGGAGTTCAACCGGGTCTGTCGTGAGATAGTAACTCGCTGATGACAATGGTGGATGTGTCGTTCAATTTCGTGGATTACTTGAAGTCAGACATTGACACCGTTGGATTCCGGCTCAGTGGTCTAGTGGTTAAATGCTCGCGTGCGGAGCCAGTAGGTCCTCGGTTCGAGTCCCACAGGAGGCAGGGTTGTGGGTACGCGCTACTGAGGAGTCCCACAGTCGAACGAAAAGGCTATCTAGTACTTCCAGGTTTTCCATGGTGGTCTAGCTTTAGTTAATTCATAATCTCAACTACTGAAATTATTATAATATCCACAAAATCTCTTTCTGAAATACTTTAGATAAAAGTAAAATAGTTTCGAAAAGTAAGTGTCATAATTCATGTAAGACGATCTTAATTCATTCAGAAATCATAATTTCAGATATCCTTTTTTTGTTATTGGAAACATGCACATTAGTTACCTTCTAGTTAGACTAAATTGTGTATATAACTTGTAACACCGTGATCATGTTAAACACTTTTCCACTGGAATGTATTCAACGATTGACAACAATTAAATAATATATTGATTTGAGAGCATTTGATTTCATTGATGATCTTATTTCAACCATATCACTTAAATAAAATACACTGTGATCTTGAATCCACTATGGTTAGTGATCAATTTAAAATTAGATCAATAGAATTTATTTATAACATTGGTTAAGTGATCAGTTATTGAAATCTCTTAGACTTACCAAATACTTGTTACGAATTGAATAACTCTGTGATTGTTTCTATGTGAGTGGGATTAGAAAATATGGATTCAAAGTCTATGTTGATACATTTTACTGATAAATGCATTCTAATTTTGAAAATGATGTACATAGTTTTCTGTTGAATACAATAAGTAAGCACAGATGGAATAGTGGCTAGTAGTGGAATCCATGATGCACGTTTCGTCCTATTTGGGACTCGTCAGCCAGATGTACCCGCATCTCAGACTTATTGATGTTCACTCTATGACTCGAACCCAGTACTGTTCGCTTCAAACGCCATCACGTTATCCACTCAGTTACTGAGTCCTGATAGCCACTTGCTTGTGCAATGAACATCAACTCTGAGATACAAGTACATCTAACTGATGAGTTCCATATAGGACAAAACGCGCATCCTGGACTCCACTGCTAGCCACTATTCCATCTTTGCTTATAATTCTTGTAAATTAAGGCAATATCAAGGCAATACGTACAGTATGCACATATGCCAATAAGAGACTGCTCAATTTCAGTCCTAAACATCAATGGATAGATTCAAGTAAAACAATACCGAGTGAATCATTTAATAAATGCTTCATTTGCATAGATGTCTACCAATTGTCTCAGACTTGATTGTTTCTTCATTCCCACACTAATCATTATCTGTTCTCGTCCTCTTCTCTTCGATCTTCTTAACCTTCTGCCACCAGTCATTTCACTTTCAACTGATGACACATAATACTTGTATTTGTCGATATCAGTAGCACATACCACATTATCACTATCATTATCTCAGTTACAGCTCACTATCTACTTTTTAGATTAACGCCTTAAAACGAGCATTGAAAAAACTTGAAGAAAAACGAAATAATAATGCAGTAAGTTTCGTTTTTCTGAAATATATCAATTCACCTTTATTGGAATATACAATTGAATGATGTTAGAGGTGTAAATGTTTACACTAGTACTGTTGTCTAAGGAGGAAGTTAGGTTCGATCAAAAGAATAATTAATATACAGTTAAAACATCCAAATGGGTGAGACTATAATTTATGGACGACGTTTGACTGGTGCTAGACTAACGATGAGTGTGTTCACCTAATAACTAGGACCAAATAAATGTTATAAACCTGTGTGAGTAATTAGGATTATGATTCACAGTTGATGGTAAAGGTAAGGAAATAGATTTAGAGTTTTCATCACGAACTCACATCAGCTACAATGCTGAAACTCTTTTTCACCAAATGGATAAGCGAATTTTGCACCAAACTCCGAGATCTATTATCTCATAACTGATTGGTTCGTCCATAAATTATAGTCTCGCCTAATGACTATCATTTATGATTGATCACCACTAGAGGCTAAGCGTTCGTGCGCGAAACTGAAGGTCCTGGGTTCGAAGCCCCAGAGAAGGATTGTGAATGCGCGCTACCGAGGAGTCCCACAATATGACGAGACGATCGTCCTGTGATTCAAGGTTTTCAATGGTGGTCTAACATCAATCGATTCATGATCTCAATCAGAAACATAATAATCTCCACAACCCTATACTGATAACTATCATTTAACTCTATTCTAGACAAAAGTATAAACGTCAACTCTGTATAGACCTTATCAATATCTTTCAGACAACCTAATCTCTTGATAACTTTAAGCAAAGCAAACGCAGTGAGATTTACAGGATACAATGAATTCATTGTAAATTTTGAAGATTCTTATCAGCTATAAGCAAAATAGAGTTACAATTAATGGCTTTATTATGAACAAAGTGTCATTATACTCTAGTCAGTCAAGGAGCTAGTCGGTCAGTCAAAAGTGGTGTAAAACCTAGGACATGTCTACATTGGTTCAAGTTGACATACTTTATTAACACAGTGAGATGAAATTGTCAGGGCGATTCGTAGAATAGTAGATGTAGTACCAACATTATTAGCAATTGGAATCATTAGGCATCCAAAATACAATTCGAGAAAATGTAAATTACTTAGTAAACATTTTAGGATGAATTTGGAAACTTAGGACCCAAGGGACGACAAAAAAGTAAATACACATGCACTACTGTACATGATTTACAGTCATACCATTCAAACTATCTAACTATTGATTGAGATCATCACATAAACCGTGGTCAATTAGTCAACATCTACCTACATGACTCAATCCAATCTTCAATGATGTAGAGTTCGAAGAGAAACAGACAAACACAGAAACCAGGACAAAGACACAAATTACATAACACAGAAGATAAGAATATTGATTATTTGTTTGTTGAAACCGAAGTGAAATCTATTGATTATGTTCAATCTTTGCTTAAGTAAATGTAAATCCGCACTATTTCTTTAAACTCTTCAGAGTATTTTAAGTCAAGATGAATTGTTAGAGATGGATTATCGTATTGAAGATTATTATCATGAAATTAGGTAAATCTATATTATTTTCTATTATTTTATGTATACTTTTTATTACACCTTTTATACCGAAAATTCGCGGATTGGTTGAATTTAGACATTAACACCGTTGGATACCAGTTCAGCGATGTAGAGGTTAAGCATCCGCACTCAAAACCGAACGTCTTGGATTCGAATCACACGTGTAGTATCGTGGATGCGTACTAATGATGAGTCCCATACTGGGACAAAACGACAGTTTAGTGCTTCCAGGTTTCACGTTGTGGTCTAGCTTTAATCAATTCATGAATTCAACCAAGAAAATAATTTACTTTTTAAAGTCTCATGAGAAACTTTATACAAATATATATATATATATATATATATATATATATATATATATATATATATATATATATATATATATATATATATATATATACCGAATGACTTTCATATCCATTACGACAAATCTCCCTCTCTCTCACACACACTGGTAACTGGTTTATAATTTTAGAGAAAAGTTCTCTGTGGTACTTTACTGCTCAGCAGTTCATTCCGTCCTACCTTGTGGCAGTAAAACATGGCCGGTAAGAGTAGAGGATATTGGTAGGTTACTAATCTTCGAAGTATTGCTCGTATATCCTGGGACCACCGAGTAAGTAATGCAGTTGTTAGGAAACGGGTACTAGGTAAGGATGAAGTAGTGAAACTTCATCACTTGAGATGGCTGAGACATGTGTTACGTATGCCCAACCACCGACTGCCTCGACATGCCATGTTCAATGGTGTAGGAGTAGATTGGAAGAAAGCTAGGGGCGACCAGAACAAAACATGGCACAAATCCATAAAGTCACTGACAAGTGGGCTGAGCCACGTTGGTAGGTGTAGACTACGTGGTTGAGATCGGCGAGACAATAGCAACCAATGGTTAGAGACCTTGAATGACATGGCTCAAAATGGTCTGCAATGGTGCAGGTGTAGATACACTCTTTATGTTTTCCTTAATTCTAATCTTCTCAATTCTTCATGTCTCTTTCTAAATTTATTTCGCTGGAATATACTCGTTGAATAACATCTTCAAACCCTAATCTTTCCGATTACTGCTTGTACTTTTACTACCTCTACCTGTATGGGATTTGAATCAACAACTGTAGCTCTGTGCAAATGTGGTATGGCAACTCGAACTGCTGTACGTACGTACGAAGTTCTATGTTGTCACTGACTGACTGATTGATACTTAAATCAGTGTATATGGGAGGGTTTTTGATATCGATAATTCAACATGTTATGAAGAGTTTATTACATTTTTCGTACTGAAATTCAACTTATTGATTTAAGACTAACATTCTTTTTTCTGAGACCTCAGTGTCCCAAGTTTTTTAACATATAGAATCGTAGGTGCACACTGTTTAGACGCAAATGATCGATCATTGGGTGGCGATCAATGTCATGCGTGTCTAGTCCTTATTAGTGCTGATCGAATGCTATCGAACATGTTGCAATGTGGCCACCAGCCTAGGTGACTCGACACTGCGTGCACTATTGCGAGATTAGATGGTGGTTGGTCGATAGCATTGGATCTGCACTAATAAGGACTAGACACGCATGACATTGATCGCCACCCAGGGATCAATCAATTGTGATTACATCTCAGTCCTACAGGAGGTCGGTCGCGTCTCGGATAGCTCAGTGGTAACGTCTTTGACTGTGGAGCTGGGTGCCACAAGGTCAAATCCACCAGGGAGCACCAGTTCCCTCAAGATTACAGGTAAACCTTGCTGACGAGTGCCAAGTAGCACGAAACCCGGGTCCAGGGTTTCTGTCGACTACCTCCAATCGCCATCAAACTGTCTAGACATGTTCGTAATTGGGAAATGTCAGCTTTCTTATGCTGCCAAACTTTTGTCGATTCTTCCCTTTTGATATCAAGACTTAAAGTAAGAAAGAATTAAGGGAAACTTGTTTTTACAAACTAATTTTCTTTTGTTTATCATTTATATTTTGTAGTTTAATGCGTCGTGCAAGAAATCATGCTGAAGCCTATGAAAAAGGATTATTGACTTCAGCTCTTCGTGCATGGAAACGTGTTAAAGAAGCAAGACAAACTAGTGGTTGTACAAATACTACTGTTCGATTAAAAATCACTAAGTAAGCAATTATGTTCTGACTTTTAAAAGATTCATTATCATGAATGAATTGATTGTTGCTGATCATCTGACTCATATGCTTCTGGAAATTTTCTGGCATGATGCGACTGTGTTGGTTCGTAGATTGTATTGATGACAACGAGCTCCAGGCACCTTGTGTTGGTTTCTGAGATATTTCTCAAATATAATGGGGAGATGTTTTTCCTGATTTCTGAGATCCTTTTTTTGATAGTATGTTGGTTAGTTAGATATCTTTTGATAACGTTATTGAAGTTCCCATTCTTAACCGAGACGGATTGGAAATGAGTTTCTTCAGTTTTTCGTGTAGCTAAAGTAATACACTAGGTTTTGACTTTTTTAAATAGTTTCAAAACATATCGCCTGTTGTATACTGCTCAGTTGTTACTGATGTGGCACTGGACGGTCGTTTTGTCCTATTGTAGGACTTTTCGGAAGCGCTCATCCACGATCTGGTTCTCGGGATTCAGAGCCAGGACCCTCAGTCTCACGTGCGAACGCATAACCTCTAAATCATTTATCTAGCTGGCATCCAACGCTTTTAATGTCTAACCTCAACCAATCCACGAAGTCGCACGATCATCTTCCATTGTACTGAAGTAGATACCTGTTTCTACCCGATACGGATTAGCTCCATTAGTCACGGCTTCTCACTAGAACTCCGAGAATTCCCTCACGAAGTTAGCCTTATTCAACACATGGTAATTATCAGTATAGGGTTGTGGAGATTTTGTTTGTATGCATAAATTCTAATATACCCAATATCTAGTTCTACCAAAAAATAGAAAAGGGGGAAAATGTAGATCTAATGGATAATTTATATTACAGAAAGTAATCAGTATGGATAATTTGAATGACATTGAAATCCTATCAATAATTAAGGTTCTTCATAACATTACAAAATGAACTATTCCTGGATAAGTGTAAAACTATAAGTAGTATATACAAGAGCCTATATAAATATTTTAAATGTTGAATGATCTTTCATTGATCAATTTAGACAAATAACAAATGTAGAACAAGATCAAGCAGATTGGAATCAAGAATTAGATGATATTGTCAATGAAGCAAAACATGAATATGATGTACAATTTAAGATAGAACAAAAAAAATATGAAGAAGAATTAGCAATATATAAAAAAGAGAAAAAACAACAGGTTAGTTGTGTTTGTATTGTTTACTTGAATCTTTCCATTGATGTTTAGGACCGCAATGGCCTTCAAATGCCCTGGCACGGCCGGGAGTGAAGAGAGTCCGATCTACCACTCGAAATACTCTCACATAGCCACGTGCATGCAACCACTGTCAAAGAAGTTCTACTCAATGCCTTCTTGAGATGGGAATGTTGTTTACGAAATTGACAGGACGAAAATTGAATGTCCGGGACTTTAGCCCGGTCGGTGGACAAAAAGGGACCACCTAGGGAAGTTGGAAAACCCTGATTCCAAACCAATAGTGCACATGAGCTCCAGGATCCTGAAGGAAAAAATGGCGTATGAACCAATTATTAGTCACTGACTATCATGGGACTATATCACATGACGTTGATCCACTGCCTTGTGGATCAAACCTTTAGGTCAAAGGTTCTAGGTGTGGCTGCCTAAGAAAACTATCTACTTCGGTTTGAGCACCAGGACAGTATCCCATCCCTCACACAAGTCGAATGCTTTGTGTGGCGCATATCTATTTGGTGTCTCCTTATACCAATGTTTGTATGTTTAAATAAACAAATAAATAAATAAGCCATGCAAATGATCAGTCTATTATTGGCATGTGTGCATTCTGTGCAGTACTGGGTTCGAGTCCCAGAATGAACATCAACTCTGATATGCAGGTACATCTAGCTGACGAGTCCCAAATAGAATGAAACGCGCATCCTGGATTCCACTGCTAGCCACTAACCATTTTTGCTTATAATGTACCGAAATTTATTTGAAATTTAAGATTTAAATGGGTAAAGGCAGAGAATCCATACATTCTATCCACATTGATCGATTTTGAATTATACTATCGGGGAGTTTCTACTTTTGTTCATCAGTAATACCATTATTAATACCAGAAAGTTTACGAAACTGATACTATCCGAACTGGCAAATGATGATTTCATGAATTATTGCCAAGATTTTTTCTGACTATCCTTGACCGTATACCAACTAACTAATTAAATGGTCACTGTTAGATCCCATGGTATGCGGTGGTTGACTATTGGTAATACATTTTCAAGGCATTTGAAATGATGAATGAATATACTTTCATATATCAGTTTTATATTTTATATCTAAAGCCTTGGAATTTATTTCAACACTATTACTGTTATATATGGTAGGTAATTCGGAGAGATTTGTCATAGAGTACTTTCTACCTTACGTATGTCTTCTACTTTCATAGACCATATATCCCAGATATAGAGTAATACGAAGCTAGTTGTTGTACAGTATTATTACTACATGGCAGGTAGACCAAAGTTTTATCTCAAGCCGAGTTAGAGCATGTTAATAAAGGAGGAACAAATTTTACGTATCTTAGACCAGATTTCATCAGTCACTGAACTAGTGAAGATCGACAAAACTTACGGGGACAGTTAAACATAATCATTATGTTTGTATATTTCAAATTCAAAACAGATTTTATGAAACGATGATATTCTTATTTAGTTTGTTTAAGTTTTGAAATGATTTCATGGGTAGTAAACTTCTAGTGAGTCATTAGTAAAACAGTATCCAGTTAAACTGTCCCTATTCATTGTACTTCTTGAAGAGATTTAGGCAGAACTTTAGAATCTTGAGCGTGTTTCACAAGATCGTTCTACTTTACAGTTGATATTTTGCAATCTATCAATTGATATGTAAGATAATGTAATTATCCTTGGTTGTAATCCTTGATAGGGTCGTTCATACATATTACTAAACAGTCTTGGTACCTGTGTGGTTGCGCCACATGATTGAGCTGTACTACTCAGATTGTAGCGTTAAAGCCCATACAGTGTCTGGTTCTCCTGTGAAACGGGATTGAGCTGTACTGCTCGAGTTACAAAATTCAAATCTGGATGGTATCTGGTCCTCCTGAAAATCAATGTAGAATTACCCTGACCCACAAGGTTATATTATATAATAAGCAGTATTTTGATGTAAGTCAAACGTAGAGAAATTCAAACACTTCATTTAAATAAGATGAAACAGTTATGAAATATATCATGATCATCGTTGGTACCTCAAATGAAATTAACTTTTGACTAATATCTTTCATAAATGATACTTCTTTCTACCTTAGGTGATAGTTTTCAGTCAACTAGGTAGATAATATGTTAATAACATTGTTTTACAATTTACTATTACAGGATGCTGCTCTTAGAAGACAACGCTTACGTGAATCAGGCCAGATAGACGGTGATTGGGAGGTAATATTATACTTTACGTGTAATCAACGAGAATAGAAGTAGGGATAATTGAATGTCACTGATTGAAATCATGAGTCAATTAAAGTTAGACCACCATGGAGAACCTGGGTGCACTGGACGGCCGTCTCGTTCTAGTATGGGACTCCTCAACAGTGCACACCCACGATTCCGTAACCCGCGAGATTCGAAACCAGGCCCTATCAGCCTCGCGTCAGGCGCTTAACCATCCGGACCACTGAGCCGGCATCCGACGGTGTTAATGTCTAGCCTCAACCAATCCACGAAATTGCACCACCGTCACTATTGTCTTCAGTGAGTTGATATTTCATAACAAACCTGGTTGAGCTCCACTGGTCACGGCTTCTCACTAGAGCTCCAGATGTATCTCTTGAAATCAGCCTTTTGTGAGCAGATGATTATTATCAGAAGGGGTTTGTGGAGATTTTAGAAATTTCACAGATTGAAATCATGAATCAATTGAAGCTCGCGCGGTGCGGGATTGTGAACGCGCACTTCTGAGGAGTCCCATACTAGGATGAAACTGCCATCCAGTGCTTCCAGGTTTCCCATGATGGTCTAGCTTCAAATTGACTCATGATTTCAATCTGTGAAATTTCATCAGTATATCATTGAAACAATTTTGGAATGAAGTAAAAGGAATCACATTTTGTATAATCTATAAAGATTGTTTATTATTATTATTATTATTCTTACTCTTTTCATTATATACATAGGATAATGCTGAACTTGAACGTGAAGATGCACAATGTTTAGCACAGAAAACCAGAAAAAATCCACCAATTATACCAAAATCATTTAATGCTCAAGTGATTCGAGATGAAACAGAAGTGAATTTAAGAAAATTTAGACGTTTACCAAATGAACCAAAAATTACAGTTAGTTTAGTTGATGATTCAACAATATCATCAAACAATGAATGTTCAAGGTATAATAGAACTCTTTGTTAATATTTGTCTTTTGATTCTAAATTGTAATCTTATTCTTATGATGATTATGTTTATGGGTAGTATATTAGATCAAATACTAGATGATTAACAGTTTTTTAAGATAAAGAGTATATAAAATCGGAATTGTATATCGTGTAGGATCAAGATCCTATATCGTTTGTTTCAGTCTTAGCACACACACATAGGCTCCAGTATCCTGAAGGAACAAATGTCGTATGAATCATTCGTTGGTCACCGGCTATCATAGGACTGCATCTTCTGATATTATTCCATTGGCTTGTGGATCAGATCTTTAGATCAAAGGCTCCGAGTTTTGCACCCTAAGAAAACCACCTGTTTTGGTTTGGGCACCTGGGCAGTATCTCAGCCCTCATACAATCGAATGATTAATGTGACTCATATTTATTTGATGCCTCCTTGTACCAATGTTAATGTGTTTAAATAAAATAAGTAGTTCATTAATAATTAGATTGATTATTAGTTTACATAGATAAATTTACAATTGATCGATCACTGGATGATGATCAATGTCATGTATATCAGGTCCTTCTTAGTGCGAATAGAATCCTATCGACCAAGTTGTATTGTGGTCACTAGTCTAAGTGACTCGACATTGATTGCACTATATTGAGATAAGATGTTGGTAAGAGACAGTCAAAAAGAAACTTTGGACCTCGGTTTCGCACTATTTGACACTCGTTAGCAAGGTGTACCTGTGGTAACATCTCTGACTGTGAAACTGGGTGAGACAAGATTGAATCCGTCAGGGAGCATCAGTTCCCTCAAGATTATAGATACATCTTATTGACAAATGCCAAGTAGTACGAAATTTAGGTTCAAAGTTTCCTGTTGACTGCCTCTAATCACCATATTATCTCAATATAATGCACTCAATGTCAAGTCATTTAGACTTGCTAGGGTTAAATGAGGGTTACAAACCAGTGTGAGGAATTAGAATTATGATATAAAGTTAATGATAAGGATTAAAAACTAGATTTAAGGTTTTCATCATAAGTTGACATCAGCTAGAATGTCAAAATGGTATTCAGTGAAATGACAAAGTTCAAGATCTGCTTCTTTAAATCTGATTGGTTTGTCTAGAAATTATAATCTCATCATTTATTTTAAGATCACTTATGTTTCATTTTCAAGTCCCTTGACGTGTTCTTTTTGGTTTTTCCACTTAGAGCTGAAATTAATCGTCGTTTAAAATTACTTGAATATACTTATTTTATCAAATTGTATTATAATCGTAAATTAGTTGAAACTAGTCAACCACAGTAAGTTGTGTATCATTGATTGTTTATTATTGTTTATTTATAAATCAATATAAATGTTATCATGTTTTGATGCATATATATATATATATATATATACATATGGTGCAGCGTTCCAGCCATAAGCAATTGTGGAAACCTACTGAAGAGATCTAATGGTCCTTCAGGAATGGATTCTGTTTTTTTCGAGGCTAACAAACTTACCGCGTGAATGAGATTTCGTGGAGCCAGCGGCTTCACGATTCTCCATGGTACCGCACCTAGAGAATAAGTAAAGAAGTTTGAGATTTTAATTGCCTTTGATATGTATGGTCTATTTTTACAGTAGTTAACGGACAAATTCTGTGATCGCTTAATTTGGCTAACAGGGTTGCCTTCACTATCCAATAGCACCACATGAAGGCCTTAGATTGGATTTTGCTGTCATTTGTATATTAATGTATCAAAATGTGCATTTTGTTGAGCTCAAGGTAATTTTGTTGTAGATGTATATCAGATTCCATGATCTGATAACCATTTAATGAAAGGAGAATTCCCAATCAATGTAATTATTCTTAAAGCAATCGGCATTAAATTAATAGATCATATATTTCATCCTTATTTCTCCTACTTTGATTAAGCATAATACTTCTATTCCTCTCTAAATAACATAGTTTAATTCCGATTTGAATACATGAAACTGTACTTTGCAAATGACTTGCATAAGTACACTGAAACTAACCAAGTTCATATTGTAGTGAAGTAATACTAACTCTAATGTATAAGATACTTTGTTTGGAATCAATGGCTGATCTTATAGATGTTCAAAGTGGTATGAAATGAACTTTCTTCATTACTTGCTTACTTACTTACGCTACGCCTTTTACTCCCAGCGGAGCATAGGCCGCCGACCAACAGTCTCCAACTGTCTTCATTATTCAAAGATAATTAAATCTTAGTGAAAATCATATTATTAGTGTGATTGATGAAATTTACTTATAAGATCACAAGCCGTCAAAAATCTGGAAACACAAAATAGCTATATTGTTTGCTACTGATGAGTCACATATTAGGTCGAATCTTGCAGGATAGGATTATGGATGCGCACTTCTGACAAGCCTCACAATAGGATGAAACGACTGTCCAGTGCTTCCAGGTTTTTCATGGTGATCTAGCTTCATATGATTCATGATCTCAACTATTAAATAAATACAGTTTAATCATTTGACCCGGTTTAAAATTTGTTTCGAATAAAGTGAATAGGATTGATGGAATAGTAGCTTAATCACTAAAATATCTGACTTTTATCCACATGATGCTAACTTAGCAACCTGCTTTACCCACCACTATTTGGGCAGTTGGGTATTATTACCATCTCTCAAATACAAAGTGAATTAAAAATAAATACATGAATCCATATAAAAATAGGACAGTATTCTCATCCCATTATTTTTATCATGGATTCTATTTCATACGAAGTCAAGATTCTGTGCAGTTTCACTTTAAACATCATGTCATTTTCAAAAAATAATGATATATAAAACAGCTTAAGGTCTTAACTAATCACTTCATTTAGCCCTACAAATACCCTGGTACGGCCGAGAGTGGAGAGAGTCTGCTCTCCCTCTTGAAATGCTCTCACATAGCCACGTGCATACAACCACTGCCAAAGAAGTCCTACTCACTACCTTCTCGCGGCATTACTTTGGTTTACGAAATTGAAAGGATGAAAAGTGAATGTCCGGTTCTTAAGCTGGGTTGGTGGATGTGGAGAATCCAACTAGGGAAGTTGGAAAGCCTGGATTCCAAACCAGTGGCGCGCATACGCTCCAGTATCCTAAAGGAAAAAATCGTTAGTTACCGACTATCATGAGACTGCATCACCTGACGTTTCTCTATTGCCTTGTGGATCAGACCTTTAGGTCAAAGATTCTAGGTGTGGCTGGCTCCCTTAGAAAACCACCTACTTCGGTTCGGGCACGAGGACAGTATCCCAGCCCCCACACAAGTCGAATGCTTTGTGTGGCTCATATCTATTTGGTGTCTCCATGTACCAATCTTTACATCTTTAAACAAATAATAAATAAATTGTGAACTGAGCGATAACTGATATTCAATTTTTTCTAGTTTTGCATATAATACACAATTGATTGGGTGTTTATCATAATTGATTTTTTCAACATTATGTAATATACTACTAATTTCCATTTGAGTAACTCATATTTACCTGATTAAGCAACATTTTTAGTAGTTGAATTCATAAGCTATTCATGTATCGATAAGAGATAGACATTAAACCTGCGAGACCAAAATTCGTGGGTTCGAGTCGAATATGTAGGATCGCGGATATGTACTGCTGAAGAGTTCCACACTACAATAAAACGATCATTCAGTGATTTTACGTTTCTAACAGTTGCCTTAACATAGATCAACTCCTGAATTCACTTACTATAATTACTAGAATTTCCATAAACCCCTATTCTGATCATAAACATCATTCTTTTCTTAATTTTAAGATTATTAACTCATAACTTTACACTTAATTTCAATTGGATTCTACCTATACAAATACGTAATCAACCAGAATCTATTGTAGCCAAAGTTAGTTTAATATTAACTTATAACCATTTGTTACTTATTCTTCTTATTGTGATTTTGTATGAATTTTCATTTACTGTTTATGTCAGGGTTAGAGTTGATTCATGATATGTATGAGAGATCATTTCTATAGTTTAGATTGATCCTGAATAGTTTCATAAAGAATGATTCCTATTGTTAGCATTATTTATCGATTTTAAAGTTAGTCTATGATAAACTATAAATTAAATGGTTTCCATGACACATCTAGACTCACATGATAACTATTCAATGGATTCTTTAGAATTAGCTAATACTTAACATTATGTTGAAGCTTATGAAGAAAATGTAATGTTCACCATTGTGAGGTCTATCGAAGCGTCCAAGTCACCCGATCGAGATACGCGCAAAACCGAAGTTTTCAAAACAACGATTTGTCTACAACAGCGGCTCTTTATTAAATAATACACTAAATTTAGTTACAAACCTCAACTTTTGAGGTGTCTCAGGTATTTAAACGCTTTCATTCAAATATGAAAATGAAAAGGCTTCCTGTAACAGTAACATAAAGAATAATTATAACATACGATAGTACAAAGGACAGCCGATATATGTGTCTAAATTTGATAACAGTTTATGAGCAACCGAAACTCGAACCAAGAGCAAAACAATGTGGAAAGTGTTGCGCTTAAACAAATGCACAAAACTGTGGATAACGGCGATAGCGATTAAGGTGCAGTTATTATAATGATAAACACAATGATAAGTACAATAAACATTATAAGTATATGTGAACATCTCAGAATACTACACTATAACTTGCGTGATAACATAAGTGTAAAACTTGTTGGGAATACAACTGCTTACTGAATGTAAATAAGTAGTATAAAACAATATACAAAGGAGTGAAAAGGGAGCGAGTAGAAACAATGTAAGACAAACTTAACAACCACATTTTTTAAAGTTTGACTTCGCTTTACTTGGTAATTAATTGGAACTTGTCACTATATATCAACTTTCTTGATTGTGAGAAGGCATCTGATATCATGGATAGGAGAACATTATGGAGACTTCTTTGAAACTATGGAGTACCTGAGAAAATTGTCAACATCATCCGGAATTCATACGACGGACTATAGTTCAAAGTTTTGCATGGAGGACAGCAGACATAAGCATTCCAGGCGAGGACCGGAGTCAGACAAGACTGCCTACTCCCTCCTTTCTATTTCTTCTGGTGGTTGACCGGATTATGAAGACCTCCACTTATGGGAGGAGAACAAAATACAATAGACATGTTGGATGCAACTAGACGATATAGACTTCACAGACGACTTAGTCTTTCTATCCTATATGCACAAGCAAATGCAGGTCAAGAAAACTACTGTAGTTGAAACCTCCGCATCATTGGGTTTCAACATATACAAGGGAAAACTCAAGATCCTCATATACAACATGGAGAACACCAACCCAATCATAATTGATGGAGAAGCTCTGACTGATGTAGAAACGTCCACGTACATGGACAAGCATTATCGATGAACGAGGAGGATTGACAAAGCAAGGACAGCATTCCTACAATTGAAGAACATGTCGAACTCAAAATAAATGTCTGTAAGCCAACATCAAAGTCAGAATCTTCAATACGACAGTTCTACTCTAAAAAGCTGAAATTTGGAGAAAAATTGCAACCATCATCAAAGAAGTACACATTTTTATCAACAATTGTCTACACAAGATACTCAATGTCTACTGGTCGGATACCATCAGCAACAACCTACTATGCGAGAGAACAAACCAGCTTCCAGCTATTGAGAATATTAGGAAAAGATGTTGTAGGTTGATAGGATACATATTGAGGAAATCATCAAACTTCATCACGAGACAATCATTAACTTCGACTTCTGAAGGGAAACGGAATATTATTAATATATTTTTGACTGAAATTTGACCAATTTCGGTTAGCATATAGGCATCCTGTGGAGATTGCCTCAAAATAACCATTGTGACACTATCTGATATAGAGTAGGTGGAATGTGGCTAGCATTGGAATCCAGGACGTGCTTAAATCCTGTGGTTCATCCAGCTAACAAGTCCCAAGTAAGCCGAAATGTCTGTTCTAAATTCCACTGCTAGCCACATCACTGATGCCATTAAGATTTCTGTTACTATGACATATATCTTGATAATTTCATTTCACTGTGTTGATATCCTACGACAACTTGAAGAGACACACATATATGCCAGGTTATGTACTACTTACAGCCGATTGGTTGTTGGGTAAAATAATTTCAGCCTGGTATCACTTGGATTTGTTACTTATACACACAATTCATTTCCAGTCTTCTATGTTTATTGTCTAGAGACTTGAACATGGTTATCATTGTGACCCTACATTGATAAGCATTGGCTTGTTCTAACTTGTATTTTTTCAGGTTTTCTGTAAATTTTATTTTGTTTCTTTGTTGGATAGACTCAGGTTTTTTACTATAGTTTTACATCGCGCTGTGATGAAGACCGAATGGCTATCAAGTGATTTCCAGTCTTCAATGATTGTTTGACTAAGATAAGATCAAACAGCTATCGTATTCCCTTGAATGGCTGGCTATGCATAGAAATTCTCGAAGTTCTATCGCAAAATTATCGCTCATAAAGTTAAACAAATAGTTATTGAGTCAAGAACTAGGAGACTATACTACATAATGACTTCGATTTATCATGTATTGACAGCTGTTAAAAATACAGACCTAGCAATCAAAGATAACTTGGAGACTCTTCGCGTTGAGTGTTCACTGTTAGATACTCCAAGAATGAGACCACATTATTGTTCATTGCTCTCCGGATTTCCTTGTTTCTTTGAGTGATATCAGGAAAAGACAGGAAGTAAAATCATTTTAATAGTAGATTTAAAGTTCGTCAAGGACATCAACTGGAGAACTACTACATACCAAGGTACATTGAATGGTTACTTCATTTTAGTCAAGGCCTATTCAACAATATATCAGTCGTTGACCGTTTGTCATCTTTGACGTCATTTATTATAAATACAATCAACCAGTGGCACTTTTCGATAAAAATACTAATATCAGAAGTGGTTTTTGTGGATATTATAGTAATTTTAATAGTTGAGATCATGAGTTAATTGAAGCCAGACCACCATAGAAAACCTGGAAGCATTGGATAGCTGTTTCGTTCTATTGTGGGACTCCTCCGTGGCAGTACGCATCCACGATCCCACCTCACGAGATTCGAACCCGGGACCTATCGGTCTCGCACACGAAAGTTTAACCTCTAGACTATTGAGCTGGCCGGCATCCAATAGTGTTAATATCTAACTTTAACTAAACCATGAAGTTGAGCGACACATCCACCATTTTCTTCGTTATTGAGTTACTATCTCCCAATTGATGAGTCACACATTAGGACGAAACGGCCGTCCAGTACTTCCAGGTTTTCCATGGTGATCTAACTTTAATTGACTCATGATCTCAACTATTAAAATTACTATAATATCCACAAAATGCCCCTTCTGATATTAATCCACATATGCTCACTAGTGACGGTCTCCGAATGTATATCCTGGAGTTCTAGTGTGAAGCGGTGACCAGTAGTGTTCAACTGGGTCTGCTGTGAGATAGTAACTCACTGAAGACAATCGTGGATGTGTCGCTCAATTTCGTGGATTAGTTGAAGTTAGATATTAACACCGCTGAATGCCAGCCAGCTCAGGGGCTTAATGGTTAAGCGCTACAATGCAAGACTGATAGGTCATCGGTTCAAGTCTCGCGAGTCGAGATCATGGATACGCACTGCTGAGAAGTCCCACAATAGGACAAAACGGCCGTTCAGTGCTTGCAGGTTTTCCATGGTGATCTAACTTCGATTGACTCATGATCTCAACTACTGAAAATATTATTATTTCTTTAAAATATAACATGATTTTTTTTCATTATTGTCATGAATATAATGCTTCATTTAACAATTGATTAGTTATTTGAGAAACATGGTTGGACATCACATCAAATAGCAGAATTTCATATTGGATTGCCAAATTATACAGATATACAAAATACATCTATACAACAGATGAATAGATCATCTGAATTAGATTTACAACATTTACGATTCATTGTAACAACTGGATCATCGTTTAAACTTGATCAAAGTAAATCAAATCAAAAACAATCTAGTTTATCATCATCATCGTCGTTTGTTGGTAGACAGCCAAAGATTCTGTTAGAAGATTTAGATGGTTCTGGTGAGAAAATAGTATGTATACCAATAACTGGAACATTATTTGCTACAACTAAATGGATATCTATCAATTCATCATTGATTAATGATATGGATATTGAAGCATGTATTGGATATCCAGATAGGTTAGTTATTGTAAATGTTTCATTTATAAAGAAATGATTATTTAAGATGAAACTTCTGACGGTGAGAGATAACTAAAATTGACCAAAATTGTAGCGGTAAATAAATCCCCAAAATAAATAGCTCCGTAAGTTTTCGGCATTGGATACTGACCATATTAGTTTTAATGGACTCACCTAGCTGAAGGTGCTCGGTCATGCATCCGTACCAGATCACGAGTAGGAACGCCGTACTCAACAACCCCCGCAATCGCTAGCCATATTAGATCAGACGATCCTCGATATATTGATAGCCTATCAAGTATATCTTCGAACCTCCTCGCTTCTGTCTTTTGATTTCACTTGGTGTGTACAATTCATATTAGAAGGTGTTACTGGTTAAAGCGTTGTCAAACTCCGAATACCTGTGGCATCTTCAAAATGTTTACCAATGGAATCGATTCACATTCATATTTAGATAATAAGGCTGGGTTGTATTTCGGTTACCACTTTTAAAGAGCATACTTTGTACTTTTCACATATAACATGCTTCATAGGAACAAGCATACTGATAAATGCATTTTGAGGTGACTCAAAGCTTAGAGCTTTGTTGAAACATTATATGGTCAAATATCTCCTAGAGTTGAATAGAATATCTTTCTCAACAATTTCAATAATCAGTGTTTTTGGGATCTCTGCATTCATATCCTCTTTGAATTCAACGTTCCAGTCAACAAAGCTTTTTTGGTACTGTTAGAGTGTTTCAACTCATTACTTTCGTTCCCGGATGCTATCAATGAATCTGGGAGGGAAGCCAAGATTCATAGGTGTTTTTCTGATTCAATTTCATTCATCGTCAACTATATCCTCTGTTTTAATTATTTTAACTCTTATAGATAGAGAATGCATTAGATTCTTCTTACTGTTCAGCAAAATACAACTTTGAAAGTCCGTTTCTTGTCTATTTCAAGTTGAATTTTACACATTATTCTTTTCAGTGACTTATTCGGTTTAATTTTTAGTCAATGAAACATTGAATTGACAGTCTGAGATATTACTAGTGAACTATTCGAAAAAAAGACAGGCAGTGTAGCAGCAGTCTCTGTATCAGTAGGCCTCAACATAAACAAGGGGAAAATCAAGGTCCTCAAATTCAAAACGGAGAACAGCAGACAGTCGCACTTGATGGCGAAACTCTGGAAGATGTAGAATCCTTCACATACCTAGGAAGCATTATCGATGAACAAGGAGGTTCAGATGCAGACGTAAAGGCAAGGATTGACAAATCAAGGGCCGCATTCCTACAATTGAAGAACATATGGAACTCAAAACAACTTTCAACCAATATCAAAGTGAGGATCTTCAATACCAACGTCAAGGAAGTTCTACTGTACGGTGCTGAAATTTAGAGAACTACAACAACCACCATGAAGAAGGTACAAGCACTTATAAATGGTTTTCTACGCAAGATACTCAACATCCATTGACCGGATACCATCAGCAACAGCCTTCTATGGGAGAGAACAAACCAGCTTACAGCTGAAGAGGAAATTAGGAAAAAACGATGGAATTGGATAGGACATACATTACGCAAATCATCAAACTACATCACGAGGCAAGCGCTAACTTGGAATCCTGAAAGAAATAGAAAAAGAGGAAGGTCAAGGAACACCTTACGTTGGGAAATAGAAGCAGATATGGAAAGGATGAATAGGAGCTGGAATGAGCTGGAAGGGATTGCCCAGGTCAGGGTTGGGTAGAGAATGCTGTTGAGTGGCCTATGCTCCTTCACGACGAGTAACAGGTGTAAGTAATTAAGTAATTCGAAAAAGTTGTATTGTAGTGAAGAAGAACACGGGTGAGGACAATTGATTGTCTTTATCACAGAAATTACAGACTATCTCAGTAAAATGTTAATACCATAAAGTCAATTGTCAATTTGCAAAATATCATTCCATCATATCAAACTGTACTGTTCCCGTTGCAAACACTAATCCATTGTCTCCCATTCCATTGTACATGCGTTTTCTTACAATTCTATTGTGCTCTTGCTCTTTCTTTCTTGATCTTCGCCATCTTCTGCTGCCGGACATTACGCTCTTTTAACGCACGTTATATACTACTTATATCAATATAAGTAGCTCACACCACAGTATCATTTATAAAGGTTTTATAACTTGAATTTTTAAACAGATCTCTGTATCCTCAAGGATCAATGAAGAGACATGTTACAGACTTGCAATCATTAATTTATCCAACTACATCCTATTTACAACCAACACAGTTATTTCAATCCAATCCATTATTCTTAAACGATACAAGTAAAGATGATGACAAACAAGTTTATAGCACTTCAATACTTGATCCGAATAATACAATGGATGCTAAATTGTTAAATTTAATACAAGTAAGTGATACTGTATGTTAATGCTTTTGGATATACAGTGTATGGGTAAGGAAGAATAGACAGTGATGTTTGTGAAACATTATTAGAAGTGAACTTATTTTGCTACCATCTTAGAAACGTAACTACAATCAAGATTGTCAAGATTGTTTTTTTATTGGTAATCAGTAAAAGTTGCAGTTTCAAAGATGACTGGTGCTCTATGCTGATTCTAAAATAGACATTGTAAACAATCTCGAAGAAAATGTTTAAGTTCTTGGGATTAAGAAGAATTGTAGTTGTAAAGGAGGAACTTAGAGTGATAAAGTAGGATCCTTTATTAGATATTCAATGAGTGCAACTAATTAATGGCGAAATAAAGATAAGGCACTTAATCCAATGGTCCGTGGGCGAGACAATAATTTATGGATGAATCAATCAGGTATAAGATAACAAGTCTCGGATTTTGGCACAAAATTCACTCAACCCTTTGGCTAAATAGAGTCCTGGCATTATAGCTGATATTAGTTCGTGATGCAAATCCTTAAATCTAATTCCTAACACTTAATCATCAACTGTAAATCATAATTCGAATTCCTCACACTAAGTTATAACCTTCAATTGGTCTTAGTTATTAGGTGAACACTCTCAACGTCAGTTTAGCATAGCTCAAAGATCGTCCATAAATGATAGTCTAACCAATCAACTTTTCATGAATACTAATCTATTTGATAGTTCAATTTATAGGTTAATTCTGCATAAATATCATTTTAACTGATAATTCATGATCACTTTCCTTCATTTGTATACAATAATAAGTCAGTAATGATGTAAACTAACTTCTGATTCTACTAAGGGATGAGGTTGATGAGGTTTTAATTAAAGACCTAAGAAGGGTTTGAGGACAAGTTTGATATGAAGCTTCTAATATGTTGTGCTTCAGTAATTAGTAAATACCTAATTGATCATGACTATAATACAACACTATACTGATTAATATTCAGTAGTATCTATCCAATAGTATATTTGTATGAGGATATACGTTAAAGGGACTATAATGGCCTATCTAATTGATCAGGGAATATACATATATATGTGAAACTCAAAGGAAAACTGAAATATTAAATAACATGATTTATTGAATATCTGCACTTCATTGTTTCAATCTGTCTAAACTTACAAAGTTAGCATTATGTATTGATCTTTTGTGGAAGCGCGTGGATCTGACACCAAGGAGATCGTATGAATGTTTATTATCGTCTACCCTCGTATATAATTACCAACTTAAATCGCGTTAGTCAATAACGGATTTAAATAAGTCGAATAACGAGAATGGACTTGTGAATACATATATTTTGTATATAAAGCGAATGGAGTAGAGAGAAGAGAAACGACGCAGAGTGGAGATGGCGGGTAAGCCAACTCCCATTTAACCAAGCGTTAATCAATAATTATAGTTACACAAAAGTAAGTTACTGACATGTGATAAGAAGTGTAAACTCACCTACGCGCTCATATAAAAACAGACAAGAGTGATAAGCGAATAATTAACAAGGTCAGAATGTGATTCAAGTAGAATGAGTAGAATGGGTTGTCCGAAAGCTAGAATAAGGTATATGGGCTTGACATAATAACTGACACTACAGATCTCTAACTCATTTCTTTATTTTGAGGCATTATTTGTCACCGATTTATTGGTGTACTGATACAGGAAGGCACTAAATACATATGCTCCACATAAGTTACTTGATTTATGTGTGGGCTGTGATACTGCCCAGATGCCCAAACCAAAGCATGTGGTTTTCTCAGGAGGCTACACATGGAGTCTTCGACATAAAGGTCTAATCCACATGGTGGTGGAGCAACGTAAACAGATACAGTCGCATGGTAGTCGGTGACCAATTATTGGTTCATACGCCATTTGTCCCCTCAGGATCCTTGAACCCATGTGTACCATTGGTTTGGAATCAGGATTTTCCAACTCCCCTAAATGAACGATCCATGTCCACCAACTTGGTTAAAGCACAGGACATTCACTTTTCGTCCTTTCGATTTAGTAAACAACAGTAATGCCGCGAGAAGGCAGTGAGTAGGACTTCTGTGGAAATGGCTGTATACGCACGACCATGTGAGAGGATTTCGAGAGGGAGAGTAGAGTTTTTCGATTAATAGTGAACGTTTGTGAATCCCCTTAGATTTCAAGACATAAGATTTTAGGGTGCATCAATTGGATGCACGTGCATTCCAATGACATTTATTATTTTCCCATGCAGATTTGTCGCATATTAAGTTCAAATATCATTTTAAAATATCACTGTAACTAGTTAAACTTATCAATGACTATCTGAAATGAATAAATTCAACTGCAAGGACAGAAAACACAAACGTAATAAACGTTTTAGCCTAAAATTAAGTCCATAATCAAGTATTATTCTGTACTCACCTGTCAAATATATAGAAACATGACTGAATGTGTTACATGCAAACACACTTAAGTAACAGTGATGACGTTATCGTTACTTACTTTCGCCTGGTACTTCTCGTGTAGGAGCATAGGCTGCCCACAAGCATTCTATCTGCACTAAGAAGGACTTGACACACATGACATTGATCACGACCCAGTGATCAATCAACTGTGCCCACAAGCACTCTCCCCCAACCCTGTCCTGGATAATCCTTTCTTCTTCTTTCCAGTTGTCATTCATCCTTTTCAGATCTGTCTCTATTTCTCAATGTAATGTGTTTTTTTACCTTCGTCTTCTCCGCTTCCAATTTAGTGCTTGCCACGTTTAATACAGTTTAATGATTTCCATAATATGTGTTCCAACATCTTTTCCTAATTTCCTCTTCACCCGATAGCTGGTTTGCACCTTGCTGTTAACCACAATATATATGGTTTATTGTTATCAGAACTTTCTAATCAGCATTATTCTACTGTAATGAACAAGAACACGAGTAGGGCAACCGAATGCATTTGAACACAATTACAGAACATCTCACTAAAATCTGAGAACCATACAGTGAATACTTAATGTGTAGAATGTCAATCAATTGTCTCAAACTTGACTGTTTTTTTGCAAATATCAGTCCATCGTCTCAGATCTCATTGTTCATGCATTTTCATATCAATTGCTTTCCGTTTCTGTTCTTTCCTCTACGTTCTCCTACTCAAATACATTCTATTCTTGACTATCGTTATTATATACTACTTATATGAATATAAGTAGCTGATGCCACACTTCTAAAATATTCAGTAATATACATGATGCTTTTTCCTTTTTTTTCTTATAGACTGCAACAGGAACTCATCTTTTACCAAATCATCAATTACAGATGACATCTTATCCAGAAGTATTATATCATACAAGAGCTAGTGGAGTTAATTATTTTCAATTAAACTTCTTAACGGAATGTTTTGATTTTTGTACGGATGATGATTTAGATAAATCTAAACGGATACGTTTAATTCAATTAAGACAAAAGCATATACCAGGTTTTCAAAATATTATAATACCAACATTTGCAAAACAAATTCCTGATGAAATATTTGATGTAAGTGAATTATATAATAGATCTATATTTCTTTTTTGATTGAGATCATGAACCGATTGATATTAGACCACTATGAAAAACCTAGAACCAATGGACAGCCATTTCATTCTAGTATGAGACTCCACAGCAATGCACATCTACGACCTCGCCTCACGAGATTTGAACCCGGGGCTTGGCAGTCTCTCATGCGAGCACTTAATCACTAGACAAGTGAGCTGGCCCGTATCCAACGGTGTTAATGTTTAACTTAAACCAATCCACAAAATTAAGCCACCGTTCACCATTGTCTTCAGTGAGTTACTATCTCACAGCAGACCCGGTTGAACTCTACTGGTCACTACTAGTCATTAATTCACACTAGAACTCCAGAAAATACCTCTTGGAGAGCGTCACTAATGAACATATGTTGATTAATATCAGAAGGGGTTTTTGTGGATATTATAGTAATTTTAATAGTTGAGATCACTAGTCAATTTAAGCTAGACCCCACACAGTAGAACTGTTTTGACATTTGTATTGAAAATCCTGACTTTGGTGTTGGTTGACAGAGAGTTCTCTTGAGTTCCAGATGTTCTTCAATTGTAGATATGCTCCTCTTACTTAAATTCATCCAATATCTAGTAAGTCGTTTCAGTGAAGGTTTCTTCTCATACTTGGTTATTCAAATCACAAAACTTTCATCATCCTTCTGGTCATCATCATCATTAAAAAACACAAACCAAATTTATCAACGTTAAACAGATAGCTTACACTGTTAGTCTTGATCTTGATTGGTTATCACTGATCCTTTCCCTATCATAGTCTGATTACTTCTTATTCTGATTTGCCATCTAGTATTTGACTTGATTGTTGTGATGTAATTGGTTTCTTATCTTTTGTACAAACTATCGAATTCCTTAAACTTGAACTCATGGATTTCAGTTTAATGATTTAAAAGGATCATGTTCACGTCAAGATTTGAATATATTAAATTCTATCTTCAGAGGAATCATGTACATATTACTGAATTGTAGTGATTGAAAAGACAAATGGGAGTAATCAAATGTACTTGAATATAAATTTGTAGAACATCTTTGTAACTTCATTTGCAAAATATCAATCAATTATCTTAAACTTGATCTTTTTAACCTTCTGTTTCCAAACATTTCACTTTTAATTGATGATGTCGCTAAGTTTGAAGCTATCACGAGTTCACTCAATCTGTGAACGAGAAAGAAGACTCGGTGACCAAAGACCAGTAAGCTAACTATTGATGCGTCCCAGCCCCGTTAACTAGAGGGAGAAGTCCAAGCTTGGAATGGGAAGTATATTCGGCAAAACAGCCAGAAACGAGTGATAACAACAAACACAAATCAAAACGTATATATACAGCACAAAACCGTCCTTGAGGAGAGTTACCAAAAAGCGTACTAAAAGACGCAACGGACCAATAGCATTTAAGAATATTTCCCAGTGGGAAACACGACATGAAGGTGACAAGAGCGCCTTTGGCGCGAAAATAAAGAAATTCAAAATTTCTAAATAAAATTACAAAATTAGGTTTTTTCCCAAGTGAGTTCTGGCGATCTAACATCCCCAACAGATATATACTACTTATATCTCATAAGATCAGTAGTACCATACTTAACTCTTTGAATTGTATCTCCTGGTTTTATGATTAGATAACATTTTCGTGTAAAATATAACACAATAATCTTTACATTGAATGATACCTAAAAATACATCTATTGATTTTGATAATTTTCAAATTATTTTGATTATTGTATATTACAATAGCCATTGAATGAGAAGAAGGATCCAGACGATGTACATGATGTACTCTCTAAAGGGATGAAAGCATATAAACAAAAGCGTAAAGTATATCTTGAAAAAGTAAGTCATATATTATGAATTATGGTACTATATTACCAATATTATTATTGTTACTATTACTAATCGCTAAGTATGAATATTGTTGAGATGGCTCCAGAGGCCCGAAAGGAACCGAAGAGTTCAATCCTTTCAGAATGTAATGGAATATTAACATGGCATGCTACTATTGGTTAGTAGCATAACATGCCTCTTCGAAGATTGGTTGAATTGTAACGTTGATATAATAAACGCCAATATCTATAAATACCCCCAAATGCCCTGGTACGGCCGAGAGTGGGTAGAGTCCACTCTACCTCTCGAAATGCTCTCACATAGCCACGCGTATATAGCCTCTGTTAGGAAAGTCCTACTCACTTCCTTCTCGTGGTGGGGGTGTTGTTTACGAAATTGAGAGGACGAAAAGCGAATGTCTGTCGCTTTAACCAGGTTGGTGAACATGGAGAGTCCACCTAGGGGAGATGGAAAACCTTGACTCCAAACCAATGGTACACATGGGCTCCAGTATCCTGAAGGAACAAATGACGTATGAACCAATCGTTGGTCACCGACTACCATGGGACTGCATCTCCTTACGATGCTCCACTGCCTTGTGGATCGGACCTTTAGGTCGAAGGCTCCGGGTGAGGTCCCCTAAGTAATCCACCTGCTTCGGTTTGGCCACCCGAGCATATGTGCATACTGTGCCTATTGCCTCGATATAGCCTTCATTCACAGGCATTATAAGCTAGTGAACATCAATTTTGAGATACAGGCACATTCGGCTGACGAGTCCCAAATAGGACAGGACGTGAGCCACTATCCGTCTTTGCTTATAAATATATCTATATTTTGTGACTAAACTTTATTTTATTGAAGGAAAAAGGACTGTGGTTACCAGTTATACTCTAGTGAACAGAACATGGGTGAGGACAATCGAATTGCATTAAGCACAGACTTACAGAGTTAATTACTAAAATAGAAAAACACTATATCAATCCATCATATCAACCTGGACTGTTCCTGTTGCAAACATCAATCCATTGTCTCTCATTTCACTGTTCATACGTTTTCTTACAAATTGCATTGTGTTTCCGGTATTCCTTTCTTGATCTTCCCCCATCTTTTGCTGCCAGACATTACGTTTTTGACTCGTGTCATATACTACTTACATCAATATAAGTAGCACGCACCGCAATACTAGTTGCGATTTAATTTAATAATTATTTTATCCATAAACTGATGAAATACCATAAACCTGTATTCCGACGAGATTATCTATTATATAGTCCGCTCTCTCTCTTGATATGTTCTCACATGGCCATGCATGTACAATAACTCTCACTGAAGTCCCACGCACTGCCTTCTCGAGGCTTTACTGTTGTTTACGAAATGGCGAGAACGAAATACAATTGTCTGGCGCTTTAACCGGGTTATTGTATATGAAGGATCCACCTGGCGGAGTTGGAAAACCCTGACTCCAAACTGATGGTGCACACTCGCTCCAGGATGCTAAAGAAGTAAATGGCCGATGAACCAGTTGTTGGTTACTGGCTAATATGGGACTGTATCTCCTGACGTTGCTCCACTGCGTCGTGGATCAGACATTTAGGTCGAAGACCTCATGTGTAGCCTCCTGAGAAAACCACCTGCTTTGGTTTGGGCACATGAGAAGTATCACAGCCCACACATAAATCAGGTGATCTGTTTGGTGCATGTGCACTTAGTGCCTTCTTGTACCAATATTTATGTGTTCAAATAATAATATCTCTAGATATAATAACAACAAAAATCGGTATATTTTTGTCAACATAACAGTTATTACCAGAAAGAGTTGAATCAGTTGAAGCTAGACCAGTATGGAAAACTTGGGAGCACTGAACGGCCATCTTGTTCGATTGTAGGACTCCTCCGTGACAGTGAACATCCACGATCTCGTCTTGCGACATTCGAACAATTACGATTAAATCAATTCAGAATATTGTTATACTCCTTGAATAACGTTTTCAAACCTTAATCTTTCCAATTACTACCTATACTTTTACCACCTCTACCACAATGGGATTTGAATCGACAGCTGCATCTCTGTGCTAATGTGGTATGGCGACTCGAACTGATGTACATACGTACGAAGCTCTACGTTGTTACTGACTGACCGTTATTAAAGAAGTTAAAGACCTAAAACGGTGTATAATTAACTCTAATATTTAATCATCTAATAATTAATATTTTATCTTATCATACCTACATATCATAGATTAAATTAGAAGTTAATCAACACTTTCAAGATATATTAAATAAGAAATCACTTCGTGAAATTGTCATTGAAGAAGAGATACCGAATATTTTGTAAGTTTCTTAATGATGAATAGTAATTGAATCCGTGAATTGATATTAAGTTTTATTTTTTTAAGCAAAGATGGATAGTAGCTAGCAGTGGAACCCAGGACGCGCGCCACTTCGTCCTATTCGGGACTTCCCAGCTGCATTCCCAAGTTGATGTTCACTTCGGGACTCGAACCCTGTACCGTTCGATTCAAACGCTATCTAGGATGCAGATAAACCCAGCCGACAAGTCCCAAATATGACGAAACGCGCGTCCTGAATTTCTCTGCTAGCCATTATCTATCTTTCCTTAATAAGCTTGTTACTTAAAGCTATATCGAGGCAATACTTACAGAATGTATGTATGCCAATAAGAGACTGATCAATTGCAGACCTTAGTAACAATGAGAAGATACAAGTAAAACAACACTAAGTGAATCTAAGTTTTAGTTTGTTATTTCAAGCTTTGTTACCAATCTTCTCTAATATAAGTGGATATTTCTGTAGTGATTGTGCTACGTTGACCAATCATCCTTGTAACCGTTACCATATAATCCTCAACGGTGTTTGAAATCAGAAGGTAAAAAAAAGCAGAAACTACAGTTTTATTAGCAGGTAACTCAGACCACAAAGCAGTGAGGCGAATGAGTGAGTCAGCGAACCGAGAGTGTAGATTGTAAATGTACATGTATATATATATATATATATATATATATTAGGGAAATGAATGGATCATCGAATGAATTAAGCAGCTAATAATAAAGCTAGCAGAATGAATATATGCGTAGGCTGTAAGCAATGTTCAAGCCTACATATTTCATACAAGCATAACAATAATAAAGGTACAATTAGTTGTTATAGTACGGATGACTTTGTCCGCTAAATAAGTTAACAAAAGGGCTTAACTGAGTTAAATGAGAACAAACTCAATTGCACCTGAGTTTCTATATTTCACTCCAAGATAGAGGACTACTAGAAATATGTTTGCTTAAACAGATCCATCAATTTTGGTGGAGTATTGTGCTCTGAAATGAATCGTTTGGTTGTTTAGCTTTCATTGCTCCTCTGAACAACACAATCAAATTTCTTCACATACAACTTGATTATGCTCAATGTTTGTGCCGATGATCTTGTTCAGAAGGACAATGAAGGCTCCACGACCAAATCATTCAGCTGAACTAAAAATCTTCTCCACCATCTTAAGACTGATTGGTTTCCACACTCATTTAATTAGATGAAATAATACTGGTTTAGATTGAAATGCTAATTTAGCGAGTGTAATTCAAACCAAATATTTACTATCTAAACATCAACGTTATTCTGACACTATAAAGCAACTATATAACATCGTATAAAGTTAACTAGTGACCAGGGTAAATTTCATCGCTAAACCGAACTGTTTGCACTGTTACGATACCCAAACCTGATCATCACATTAATCAAGTATTTACGGTTAGTTAATTATGATGGAATAGGTGAATTATTCACAGATCCTCTATCTACCATAAATCTTATTTTACTACTTAATTTAATTATAGTAGTTCAAATATAAATCAGAATATTTTTTACCCGATTTTTTTGTGTACAGATTCCTATTGCCATTTTTCAAAAGATTATTACAACCTAAACGTCCGTTAAGACCTAGATATGAAGAACGTCGACGTATTGGTGCACAATATGTTCAAAATTCTAGTCTTGAACTAATAGTTACAATACATGGTGCTTATAACTTACCAAATCGATGTACGAAACGAATAGATCAATCAAATTATCGTAGTAAAACTGACAATATAAATGATGTAAGAGTCATTTTTGTCTATCTTTGTTAGCTCCACCTCGTTTTGAATAATTGATATGATTTAAGTAGATCGAAATTTCGTTGGTAACTTTGTTCCCATATGTGTTCACGTGTGATTTGATCGATCTATGGCTTTTCAAAAGATCGTTCATTTCAATTACTTCGAATCTTACTTGGTGCAAAACTATTTTTTTAACTTAATGTTTATTTTTTTCCCAGTTGTCTGTATACAATCTTCGTGTCAAAGAAATATCAGCAAGACTATAATCTATGGACGAACCAACCAAGTATAAGATAACAGGTCTCGGAGTTTGGAGCGAAATTCATTCATTCATTCATTTGGCTAAATAGAGTTTTGGTATTATAGCTGATATCAGTTCGTGACGAAAACCCTAAATCTAATTCCTAACCTTAATCACACTGGTTTATAACCTCCATTTGGTCTTAGTTATTAGTTGAACACTCTCAAGGTCACTTTGACATCGCTCAAAGGTCGTCCATAAATTATGGTCTTACCGAAATATCTTTTATGCTCTTAATTTTAGTACAGTCAAACAATTTGCCAATATATCAAATGATTGAAGGTAATTTTCAAGAAATCTTTATATCAAAGTTTCATCTTAGTTGGAACTTATCATCAACGCGTATCTGCGGACTTGATATTCTTATGGTATTCGAATAAGCATCAAGTAACTTTAAAGTTTTTGACACTACTATTCAAATATTTAGATAGTTGAGAAACGAATATTCATGTATAACATTTGTACAACTTATTCATCTGCTGTAAAAAAAACAAAGTGAAGATTATGGACGTTCCATGAAATTCGCATGTTCTTTGTTGTTGTAAACACACACTGCTAGTTTATTTATTTATTTATTTAAACACATAAACATTGGTACAACTTCGAAACCAACAGGCAGGATTCTGTAAGGATAGATCGTGGAACAACCAATTGAATGGAATTCATCACTCCATATCAACTTCATTGACTACAAGAAAGCATTTGGTAGCGTGGACAGAACAACACTATGGAGGCTTCTTCTACACTACAGCGTGCCTCAGAAGATAGTCAATATCATACGGAATTCCTATGATGGATTAAACTGCAAAATTGTGCATGAAGGACAACTGACAGACTCGTTCGAAGTAAAGACTGGTGTCAGGATAGATTACTTCTTCCATCCTTTATCTTTCTCCTGGTGATCGACTGGATCATGAAGACGTCAACATCTCGGGGGAAGCACGGGATGTAGTGGACAGGTAGAATGCAGCTGGACGAACTACGCTTTGCAGATGATCTGGCTCTTCTATCGCACACGCAATATTAAATGCAGGAGAAGACGACCAGTGTAGCAGCAGTAGGTTTCAACACATACACAAAGGGAGAAGAAAGAGTTTTCGATACAACACAGCATGCAACAATCGAATCATACTTGAAGGAGAGATTTGGAAGATGTAAATACGTTTACATATCTGGGCAGCATCATTGATGAACACGATGGATCTGATGCAGATGTGAATGTGTGGGTGGGCAAAGCAAGAGCAACATATCTACAATTGAAGAACTGATAAGTCGTGTAGGTTGAACGCTATATACGATTCCTAAGCTATTTCGGTAACCCGCAGTCTAGAACTACACAGCGACTTGAACTCCAGAGAAAAGACACAAGAATGAGAGAAAACACTTTATTCCAAGGTTCATTCTAGTACAGAAAATCAAGGGTATTTATAGATGTTGGCGTCTGTTAAATTAACATCATATTTCAGCCAATCCGTTGAAGTTCTCCGGAAGCCGACCCAACAAGAACATCTGGAACTCAAAGCAACAGTCTTTCAACCAACACCAAGGTTGGAATTTTCAATAAAACTGTCAAGACAGTTCTACTGCATGAGGCGGAAACATTTGTCTACGCAAAATACTTCAGATCCGTTGGCCTGACACTATCAGTAACAAAATACTGTGAGAGAGAACAAACCAGATTCCAGGTGAGGTGGAAATCAGGAAGTAGCATTGGAAGTGGATAGGACACATATTGAGGAAGGCACCGAACTACGTCACAAAGCACGCCCTCGCATGGAATCGTCGAGGCCAAAGGAGAAGTGGAAGACCAAAGAACACATTACGCCGAGAAATGGAGATAGACATGAGAAAAAAAGAACAAGAATTGGATGGAACTATAAAAGAAAACCCAGTAGAGAGTGGGTTGGAGAATGCTGATCGGCGGCCTATGCTCCTCCACTGGGATTAACAGGCGTAAGGAAGTAAGTAAGTAATAAATGGAAGACTACGTCAAAAGCGATGAATTTATAGCAGCTGACGTATAATTGATTTTGTTCACATTTGATTTGGTTAATCCCCATTGCCAACTTATTTAATGGATAAAGTTATTCGTACAATAACAACTTATCTATACTATTGTACCTTTATTATTGTTACACTTGTATGAATATGTACGCTTGAGCATTACTTACTGCCTACGCATATATTCATTCTGCTAGCCTTACTGTTAATCGCTTAATTGATTCGATGATTCACTCATTTCACTATGTATATAAATGTACATTTTAATCTTGTTCATTGTCTCACTCATTCGACTCGCACGCTCACTCGCTTGTCCGCTTTCTTTTCGGTACTCCTCCTTCATGCTTGTTAAACGTATCTGTAATTTTGCTGATCTGTACGTCGTAGTGTAATAATAAACTTAATCAGCACTTCATATTCACCTTCTGATTAATACATCGTTAAAGGCGTTATCTATTGACGGTTATTAAGACGAACTGTATACGAAGTCTAAGAACTATATTAAATACTAAACATCACAAATTATTCAAAGTTTTGAAAATTTCCCATTTATTTCAACAGTTGAGACCATAAGTCAATTGAAGCTAGACCATCATGGAAAACCTAGATGCATTGGACTACCGTTTCGTCCTCAACAGTGCGCATCCTCGACCCCACCTCGCGAGATTCGAACCCAGGACCTATCGGTCTCGCGCCAGGAGCTTAACCAACTAGACCATTGAGCCGGCATTCAACGATGTTCATGTCAAACTTTCCATTTATCTAAAATTGTAAATAAAAACAATTTTGAAGATTAAAATAAAGGTATCCCGTTATTTTTCTTTCTTTCGTTCTATTAGCTTTTGAAACCATTTGCTGTTATTAAATTTCAACAGAATAAACAATCAACTAATTCATCAGAAGGTAGAAATCCTAGTTGGAATACGGAATTTCGATTTCCTTTCTAGTAAGTTTATTATGATGAATACTGTTTGATAGAAAACTATATTTGACTTAGATTACTGTAAGAGTTAGCATTCATCTATAAGTTTAAAAGAAATGATACTTCTTATAAGAATCCAATCTACATCACTCATCTTCATAGTATTTGAATGTTGCAATATAAATGCTTAGTGTAAACTATATATGATTTAATGTATTCGATAAATTGAATATGATCAGTAAACACATAAGATCATTATATAACACTTGGAATGAGATAGGTTACTGAATCATATTAAGTAGTATACGGTAATACACTAAAATTAGTGAAAATAAGAAAAATACAGAACTCTGAGCTGGATGATTCGGTCGTGGAGCTTTCATCATTCTTCTGAACGACATCATCCATAGCATAAACTTCAGACAGAAGTGAATTGTTCAAATTTCTCGACATGTGGTCCACAGTTTGTCCTATACTCCTCGATGTTGATTGGTTCTTGTTGACCTTAAATCCGAACACTTCACTTCTACGTGAAGTTTGTGCTGGTGATGTCCTTCAGAAGAACGATGAAAGCTCCACGACCAAACTATCCAGCTCAGAGAACAAAACTTCACCAGTAACTTTGAAATGTTAGGGATTTTGAATTTCTAATGTGAAGTCTTGCATATTCACTAATGTAAAGTCACATAAATAAACGAAACTGTATTGTTCATTACTTCCTGATTTCTAATGATTATCTGGATAATTTTAGTCTGTGGTGAAACTTATCTTCAAATATTTTTAATGGTTAGGCTGTAGTTCATAGACGACTTTTGAATGACGCTAGATTAACCGTGAGAATGTTCACCTTATAACCGGTACCAAAAGAGGGTTATAAAACATTGTGGAGGGGGGGTAGAATTATGATTTACAGTCGATGGTTAAGGTAAGGAATTAGATTTAGTGTTTTCATCACGAACTGATATCAGCTATAATACCAAAACTCTATTTAGCCAAATGGTTGAGTGAATTTCGCTCCAAACTCCGAGACCTGTTATCTTATACCGGATTGGTTCGTCCATAAGTTATAGTCTCGCCTATTCAACCCGTTTGAATGTAAATTGTTAAAGAATCACTGATAGGTTTATAGTAAACATGAATACATTTGGGAGCAATCAATTCATCATTGAATACAAAATTACAGAATCTCTTAATTAAATTTGAGAACCATAGTTCATTTGCAAAATGTTAAACAATCGTCTCACACTTGATTGTTCCTTCATTTCTACACTAATCATTCTCTGTTCTCGTTCTCTTCTCTTCAATCTTAACATTCCACCTTCAGGCATTTTACTTTCGAATGGTGATACATACTAGTTATATCTGTCAATATTAGTAACACACCTCACAGTTGAATTTAGTTAGTTATGTATACTGTATTGATTACCTTGAATAACTTATCAACTAGTCGGAAAACATTCCTTAGGTATAAAACAACTAATAATAAAAAGCGGTTAAACTAAGGTGGAATAATGATTAAGTATACCTACTATTAGTTAGGCTAGTGGTATGAGTTCAAGTTTTAATCCTATACATCTTTTATCACTAACTGACATCATCTACAATGAATTAAGGTATAGATTAGGTAATAAAAATAAATTCATAGTTGTGTTATGATTACAAATGATCTGTAATACAATGATACATTACAATCCTTCTCTTTACTTAAGGTTCATAGTTAGAATGGGAGAATATATTATCTAGTTATGTCCAGATAAGCATAATGAATAGTAACTTTTGGGATCCTTTTATGAACCAATACTAAACGTATATTTTGATCACATAACTGTTATGTAACTAGACTATTCATATTTATACTCCTCTATTCATAAGCTTTATTTTGATCTATGAACCATTACTATCCGATTTACCATTCTTGAATTATACCCAGTCTATAAATTACTATCTCCCTTATTCACATTCACATTTGGCCAAGTCTTGTACAAATGTTGTTTCCTATTTTATGGTACGTTGTGGTCTGTTTGATTGGTATATAAACTCAGTATGTTTGATAATGAAGATGGCACAGGTATTCAGTGTTTGACAACGCTTTTACTAGTAACACCTTCTAATATAACTCGTACCCACCAAGAGAAATCAAAAGACAGAATCGAGGAGATCAGAAGTTGTATTTGACGATTGCCAATATATCGGAATTGTCTGACCTAGTCTGGCTAGCGATTGTAGTAGATGTTGAGCACGGCGTTCCCACACGTGATCTGGCGCGGATGCATGACCGAGTGCCTTCAGCTAGGTGAGTCCACTAAAACTAATCTGGTCAGCATCCAATGTCGAAAACCTACAGAGCTACTTATTTTGGGGATTTATTTACCGCTACAAAATATATTGATTCATATTGCAGAGGATGAGACTGGCGTTCTGGTCTTAACTGGTTGGACTAAGCAGGAAGCAGGACCAATAAGGACTCTAGACTGTTCATACGCGTTTACGCGTCATTGATTCGATCTATAAGTCACTGCTGCCTAATTGGCGGCACAAGTTATAATAGCTTGATCACCAGGTCATATTCACTATTTGATTGCATAATAGATATTTGTAACGAGAACCAAATATTGTCAAGTTTCACTTTCACATGAAAATTCACTAGTTACTAATGTTAATATGTTTCTTTCACTTTTACTTATTACATTCAATAGTTTACCATTGGATAATCCAAAATTAGAAAATATGAAAGATCCTATTATTATTAATATATATGATCAAGTCATTTTCAATCAAACAGATTCAAATCAAAATGAATCATCTCATTATATACAACATATAGAACATCGTTTAATTGGTTCAACTGAAATACCTTTATCAACTGTTTATTTAAATACTAAGGTACATATCTATGTTTTTATTGGAATATATATGACTCTATACTAGTTTGCAATACATTCCTTGAGTCATTTGAAGCTAGGCCAGCATGGAAAACCTGAAAGCCCTGGATGACCGTTTCGTCCTAGTATGGGACTCCTCAGCAGTGCGTATCCACGGTCCCGCACCTCGCGAAAGTCGAACGCAGGACCTACTAGTTTCACGCGTGAGCGCTTAACCACTATATCACTGAGCCAGCATCCAACGGTGTTAATGTCAAACTTCAACCGATCCACGAAGTTACGGCACCGTATACTATTGTCTTCAGTGAGCTGATATCTCACAACAGACTTTGTTGGACTCCACTGGTAACGGCTTCCCACTAGAACTCCAGGAGTATCTTCCGAAGTCAGTCACTAGTGAGCAGGTGATTATTATTATCAGAATGGGTTTTGTGGAGAATTTTTAGAAATTTCACAGGTTGAAATCATGAGTCAATTGAAGCTAGACCATCATGGAAAACCTGGAAGCACTGGACGGCCGTTTCGTTCTAGTATGGGACTCCTCAGCAGTGCGAATCCACGATCACGCACCCCGCGGGATTCAACCTGTGAAATTTCTAAAAAATCTCCACAAAACCCATTCTGATAATCTTATTCTGTTATTGATTTGTGTATATCAGCTGTCTGTGAATACACACTGCCTTCTTGCGGTGAAGGTGTTGTTTACGAAATTGAGAGGATAAAAAAGCGAACGTTTAACGCTTTAACTGGGTTGATAAACACGCAGGTTCTACCTAGGGTAGTCCGAAAATCATAATTCTAAACCAATAATGCAAATGGGCTCCAGTATCCTGAAGGAACAAATGGCGTATGAACTGTTTGTTAGTCATCGGCTATCCATGGGACTGCATCTCTTAATATTGCTCCATTACGTCGTGGATTAGACCTTTATGTCGAAGGCTCCAGGTGTGCCCCACCCCCTAAGAAAACCACTTCCTTTGGTCTGGGCACCTGAGCCATATTACAGCCCATATCATTCTTTTGAACGACATTATCAGCGAAAACTTCACTTCTACCTAACATTTATGCTGATGATGTCATTCAGAAGAACAATGAAAGCTTCACGACCAAGCTACTGTAGTTCAGAGAACAAAACTCAATTAAAATCATCCACCTGAACTACAAATCTTCTCTACCATCTCATACATTTCATTATTAATCAATTTTTTTTCCTTAATCAACATTCTTTTATAGATTAGTGGTAAAATCAATTTGTCAATCCCATTAATTTTACAAGGATATGAAACAATTAATCTTGTTAAATCATCTATTAGACCAATGATCGATATTTTAATGACATTGGAACCATCTATTTACCCACCAACACCATTAATTGATACGGTAAGTATTTAGTATATATGGTTAAATCATATTGATTGAACATGATTACAGTAATTAAAACGATTGATGAAATCAATATTCAATGATGAATCACTTATAAATATATCTTAGTTAAGTTAAATGATTTCAAATAGCCTAATGATAACCCCCCTTTAACTGTGACTCACAATGAATTAGGTTCGAAACCTGAGGAATGTGTCAATTCCTTCGAGATTATTCACATAGGAATGAAGCATAAGTCCAACATGGTTATTTACTAATTATCTTCAACCATTTAACACATAATGTATTACTGAATTTATGATTCAGTTATCTTTGATAAATGAAGGATTAAAGATCATCACTAAATATTCAACAGAAACATGACAAATATCTTATTCAGTTCTTAGTTTATCTTAGAATGAGAAACAGTGACCGGTGGAGTTCAACAGGGTCTGCGGTGAGATAATAACTCACTGGAGACAATAGTGAACGGTGACTCAATTTCATGGATCGGTTGAAAATAAACATTGACACCGTTAGATGGCGACCGGCTCAGTAGTCTAAAGGTTAAGCGTATGCGCGCGAAACTGATAGTTCCTGGGTTCTAATCTCGTGAGGCGGAGTCGAGGATGTGCACTGATGAGGAGTTTCGTGCTAGAACGAAATGGCCGTCTAGTGCTTTCAGGTTTTCCATGGTGGTCTAGCTTCAACGGACTCATGATCTCAACTATTCAAATTACTATAATATCCACAAAAACGCCTTCTGAAATTAGTATAATTTATATGTCAATTTCATAACCAGTACTCATTAGTTGAGTCAATATTGAAGAATATGCAGTATTCAACAACAATTTTTACTAAACATGTTTATAGTCCCTCCAGAGATTCTACCAAACACCTTCAGTTCTCGAGGCTAATATTGTATCAGTCAATCAGTCAGTAACATCGTAGAACTTCGTATGTACGTACATCAGTTCGAGTTGCCATACCACATTCGCACAGAGCTACAGTTATCGATTCAAATCCCATACCGGTAGAGGTAGTAAGAGTACAAGCAGTGGTCGGAAACATTAGGGTTTGAAGATGTTATTCAATGAGTATAATCCAGTGAAATAAATTTGGAAAGAGGTAAAAAAAGAAAGGGACATGAAAAACTGAGAAGATTAGAATTTCAGAGAACACAAAGAGTGAACCTACAACTGAGCCATTGCAAACGATTTTGAGCCATGTCATTCAATGTCTCTAACTATCGGTTGCTATCGTGCCGCTGATCCTAACCAGGAAAACTACACCTATTAACATGGCTCAGTCCACTTGTCAGTGACTATATGGATTTGTGCCATATTTTGATCTGGCCGTCCCCCGAACTTTCTTCCAACTTACTCTCACACCATAAAACATCGCACGTCGAGGTAGTCAATGGTTGGGCATACGTAACACGTGTCCCAGTCAGCTCAACTGATGAAGTTTCACTACTTCAATTGATTTGCCATCCTTACCTAGTACCCGTTTCCTAACAACTGCATTACACACTCGATGGTCCGAGTATATACGAGCAATACTCCGAAGACACCTATGATCGAATACTAGTAACCTACGAATATCCTCTACTCTCACCGCTCATGCTTCACCGCCATAAAGCAGGATGGAACGAACTGCTGCGCAGTAAACCTGTCTTACATATGAATCTAACCGGCCAGTCGAGTGAATAGACGAAAAGTTAGAAAATAAGTTTATACCCCCAATTGAATTGGTATATGCTTATACCCTGTTTCCTAGGAAATTAAGCTATTAATAGTGTATGTCTTATTCCTCAGAAGTAAAAGCCATTTTCTCGTTACCAGATCACGTTCAATAATCATTTCTGATTGGCCCATTATACCAGGTAGCAAAATGGATTTTTAATATTTTTATTACTAAGATAGCGTGCCATAAAGTGCAGTGATATACTGAAAGAAGTAACAAATGCCCTGGTACGGCCGAGAGTGAAGAGTTTTCACTCTCCCTCACAAAATGCTTTCACATGGCCATGCGTATACAGCCACTCCCACAGAAGTCCCATTCAATGCCTTCTCGCGGTGGGGTGTTGTTTATGAAATTGAGAGGATGGAAAGCGAATTTTCGACACTTGGACTTGGTTGGTGGACACTGATGGTCTACCTAGGGCAGTTGTAAAACCCTGATTTCAAGCCAATAGTACAGATGGGCTCCAGAATCCTGTAGAAACAAACGGTGTATGAACCAGTTGTTGGTCACCGAGTACCATGGGACTGCATCTCCCGACGTTGCTCCACTACGTTTTGGATTAGACCTTCAGGTCGAAGGCTTCGGGTGTGGCCCCCTAAGAGAACCATATTCCTCGGTCTGTGCACCCGAGTAGTATCACGGCCCACACACAAATCAAGTGACTTGTGTTCGGAACATGTATTCGGTGCCCCATTGTACCAATATTTATGTGTTCAAATAAATAAATAAATACCGTGAACTATTTCAATGTCACCGATGTCACGTCTACATGCCATAGGTTGTTGTTATGTTTATTAACTATTCGCCATTAGGTCATTACAGTGACTTTCTTGGTTAAGTGTTAGAACTAAGCATAATCAGTCAATCAGATCTCAGGGTACAATAGTACACTATTTGAGAGTCTTTTGAAGGTTAGCTTCTGTTGATTCCTCATAAGTCTGAGCTGGAACAATTAAATTGAAGATTGAGTGAGCTGCTATTTAGAATATCTACCTAAGCTGATATCTTTTAGTTTGTAACCTTTTTATAATAAATGTGTATAGAAAATGCCACACTACCTACTTTTTATGCTGTCTGGCATTTATCAAGAGTGTGTACATGTTGTCTTGAAGGAGTTGATGCCCCCCTGACGACTTCATCTTGGTGTCACCCAGATTCGTAGTTCGAGATGTTAACACTGAGCTATTCGGGATGTGAATGATACCCTGTAGGCCTGAGATTCATTTACAATTGACTGATAACTGAGTACTTATCAATGATATATATATAGAGTGATTTTGAGTACTGACGGAATTCAATCACTCAAGTTGCAGTGTGGCCACCAATCTAATTCACTTGACATCGTGTGCATAATAGTGAATTGATGGTTGAAAGCAGTCTACAGAAAACCTTCAATATCACAGATACACCGTACTGAGGAGTACCAAATATCACGGGACCTCTATTAAGCAAGGTTTTCTCTGAACTACCTACAACAACTACATCATATCCCAGTATAGTGTACGCGGTCAGTTCTACTAGTAACTAAACTGAAACTTCATAGATAGAACTTGATCAGCACTTAGAATTAATTGACATACATCACATCTATCATTAACTCAGTTACCAATCAGTTGTAAGAATAAATGTCTCTTTGTATTGTTTACTTGTATCTTCCCATTGTTATTTAGGACTGCAATTGATCAGTCTCTTATTGACATATGTGCATACTGTTCGTAATGCCTCGATATTGCCTTAATTCAAAAGCATTATAATCCAAGATGGATAGTGGCTAGCAGTGGAGTCCAGCACACGCGCTTGAAGCGAACGGTACTGGGTTCGAGTAGTAGAGTGAACATCAACTCAGATACAGGTATATCCAACTGACGAGTTCCAAATAGGACGAAGTGGCGCGCGTGCTAGACTCCACTGCTAGCCGCTATCCATCTTTGCTTAAACTGTCTCTTTATTAACTGATATTCAACATAATATATTGTTAAGATATAAATCACAATCTTATGTAAACTATTTCAGTTTATCTCAATTGAATCACTTGAAGTGCAAACAAGTTTATCAAAATGGTATCAGAAATTATCAAAGCATAAATTTATGACTGAAAGACAATTTAAACCATTAGTAATGAATTCAGATTGTCAAGAAATATTAATGACACGTTTTTTGACTCCACTTAATCCTCCAGAGGAATTTCTACCAGGAACAAAGACTGGTTTCAGCATTTCAGAATCTATGGTAAGTATGAAAAAAAGGGTTTTAGTCATTTTCACTTCTGTGTTTGATTAGTTTTATTGAGAACTTTTAAAGAATTAAATGAGAATGTGACATTATACCTCGATATTATCAATATACCTATACTATTGTAGTTTTGTAGAATCTATTCAGTAATACTTCTATAAAAAAAATAGGTCATATATTTGAAAGTGTCCAAAGGATTAGTTGCTTAGCTAGTTGGAGAGAAGAGATTACGTATAGAATACATAGATGGTGGATTACTGAAATCAGGAGAATGCTCAATTGTTTATTTTCGATTAGTTTAGTTCATGGAAAACAGATAGAGTCATCTAGAAGTCATGAATAACTATTGAACTAAGTATAGAGTAAGTTAACAGTATTACCTTAACTATTAGTTTGAGTCAAAGTGATTTGTGAAACATTGTATCACCGCCTCTGTAAGATAACTAAAAAAACACCCAACTGAGTAATACCAAAGTTTGAAGTAAGTTATTAGGTAAAGAATACAAGTCAATTTATATGACTGAAGTGGATTGTACATGTGTTCCACATACCTAACTATCATCTACATCAACTCCCAATACTTCTTGTTGGCAATGTACAAATATCCTTTAAGCAACTCTCTAGAGGCCCAAGAAAAGATTTGTTTGTATCAACCATATCAGTCATAATTGTTCATAAGATTTTTAAAGAAATTTATCTTAATTTCAATGGTTGAGATAATGAGTCGATTGAAGCTAGACCATCATGGAAAGTCTGAGAGCACTGGACGACTGTCCCGTTCTATTGTGGGACTCCTCCGTGGCAGTGCGCATCTACGATCTCATGTCGAGAGATGCTGAACCCAGGACCTATCGGTCTCAGGTGTGTACGCTTAACCGCTAGACAACTGAGCTGGCCAGCATCCAACGGTGTTAATGTTTAACTTCAACTAATCTACGAAAGTGAGCGACACATCCACCGTTGTCTTCTATCTTAAATCTATCTTAAATACTAAGTATAATATATACAATTGTTCAAGACAATGATAAGTTTGTTCATTTTATAATCTTTTTTTTTACTTTATTTTAGTTACGCTTAGCCCGTTATGTATCACTGATTCCTTATGAATCTGATATTGCATCATTTCCTGGTTTAGTACAAGTTTGGTGTACATGTGATGTAAGTTTGTTTGAATTCTCTTTATGATATGCTGTACACAAATTAGTCTTATGTTATATCAAATAATCGATTTATGATTAAAAATAGCAAATCAGTGTATCGATCGGACAGTACATTCAACATCCAACGATGTTAATGTCTAACTTCAACTAATCTACAAAATTGAGTGACACATTCACCATTATCATCAGTAAGTTACTAGCTCACAGCATACCCGGTTGAACTCCTATTTTTGTAGACAGTTATTCAACCTTTGAGGAGACTATAATTGATGGACGACCTTTGAACGAATCTTGGGTGACCCTGGGAAATATTAGCCAATCAGAAAACAGTTAGTATAAAGTGAAAAAGACCAAAGAATTAAAGTGGATATACTTCTTTTACATGGTTCAAAAACTTGTCAAGGTTAGAAAAAGGTTCCGAGGTTCTAAAATAGTAATGCATACGGTAGACGAACTCATCCATATGACTCCATAATAGTCGGCCTCTGGAGCCAAGATAAGGTCGCAAAACTTTCAACGTCGACCACATAGCTTCAATATTGTTTGTGTGCACTCTGGTTGAGTAAGCTTGTCATTTTTATTGCTCATATATCTCTACAACAGTTATACCAATGAACAACCGAAGCTTCAGTAATATCTGCGAATGTTCAAACCAATGTTACTGGTGCTTTTACTATACAGTTCGCAACAATTACCATAATTTACCATAGTCTCAATTTGGATCAAGTGAAAAAACTCCTATTCTACCAGACAACATCATCACAGTAATCTGCATAAAGTCCACAAATCATTTGATTACCACAATTACAAATAAAGGAACTTCTTAATAATAATCTCATTTATTGTAACCGCTCAATTATCATGTCTTCCCCAAAAACCTCTAAGAACCGATATTACATAAGCATCAGGTATTGAAATTGGCGCTATGACCTTGAAATCTTTCAAACGCTTCTGATTGACTCGTCCATAATTTATATTCTAGCCAAATAACCCATTCTGATAATAATCACCTACTCACTAGTGACTGACTTCGGAAGATACTCCTGGAGTTCTGGTGAGAAGCCATTACCAGTGGAGTTCAACCAGGTTTGTTGTGAGATAGGAACCCACTGAAGACAATAGTGTACGGTGGCACAACTTCGTGGATTGGTTGAAGTTAGACATTAACACCGTTGGATGTCGGCTCAGTGGTCTAGTTGATTAAGCGCCTGGCGCGAGACCGATAGGTCCTGCGTTTGAATCTCGTGGGGAGGAGGGATCGTGGATACGCACTGCTGAGAAGTTCCGTGCTAGGACGAGACGGCCGTCCAGTGCTTCCAGATTTTCCATGGTAGTCCAACTTCAATTGACTCATGATTTCAACCAGTGAAATACTTTTCTAAATCGATTTTATTTTTTTATTTTCCAAAAAACAATTTTTTTTAGCAATTTTTAAGTATGTTATGCGGTGATGAAGAAGAGCATGCAGTATTATTAGCATGTTATTTTATGTACATATTCAAATATAGTACAATGGATAATAATGATGGTGAAACAGCAACAATCATAAATGATAAGTCATTCAATCAATCTATTAATAAATCAATGAATTCAATTTATCTATGTATTGGTGAAGCTATTCCCGAAGGTAAAATTGTTTTCAGTATTACATAAATTATAAGATTGATCTAAGCAAAGATGTAAAGTAGTTAACAGTGGAATCCAGGACGCTCGCCACTTCATCTTATTCGGAATTTATCAGTTGAATGTACCGGAATCTCAGAGTTAATGTTCATTTTCGGACTTGAACCTAGTTGTTATAACTTGTGACTTGAGTGCTCTGCTAATGAATAGCGTAACGATACCGCCAATTAGAGAGCAGTGAATTATCGATCGGACCAATGACGCGTAAAACAAATGAGAGCAGTCTAGAGTCCTTATTGATCCTGATTTCCGACTAGCCCAGACAGTTAAGTCCAGAACACCAATCTCAACCTCTATGATGTGAATAATCTATTTCAAACATACTGGGTTTATATACAAACCAGACAGACCACATCGTACCATAAAATAGAAAATAACATTTGTACAAGATTTAGCCAAATGTGGCTGTGAATGTGAGAGACTGGGATTGACAGACTGGGCATAGCTCAGGAATGCTAAACCGTATAATAATAGTTCATAGGTCAAAATAAAACTCATAATAAGGGGGAAATGAATATGAACAGTTTAGTTATTTAACGATTATACGATAAAAATATAAGTATAGTAATGGTCCATAAATGGATCCCAAAAGTAACCATTGATTATGCTTATCGGGACATAACACTAGTACAGTTCGCTTCAAATACCATCGTGTTTATTCAATTAGTTACTGAGTCCTCATAGCCATTTGTTTATATTGATAGTTTTATTTAAGAACTGTTAATAGAAATGATAATATAAACATGATTATTACTAATCTATTTCATGATTGCCTCCACTCTAGTAGTTCAGTGAAGGAATATTTAACTTATATGATGTGAATTGGGGGAGGTTAGACATTGACATCCGTTGAATACCGGTTCAAAATGGTTTAGAAGTTAAGCATTTGAACGCAATACAAAAGATCCTGGATTCGATTCCTGTATGTGTTGGATCAAGAATACGCAAAGCTGAAAAGTCTCATACGCTAGAACGAAATGGCTATCCAGTGCTTTCAAATTTCTTTTCTATGCATGTGTTTTGGCAAATACATGTAAACTGATAGAAAACTTTTTAGATAACATAATTTTTCCATACATGACTGTCTTAATGAGCAATGATAGAGTATATCATTATGTTGGCATCTACATCTAAAAATCCCTTCTTTAAATCGTGAAATGATTATAGACGCTAAACTATAGACGCTAATTATATGTAAGAAGTACCTAAATGAAGTAGTATATTGATACAATCAGCACTACTATGTTCTCCTTCTATCTGATATTTGATCATCTTAATCTAGTCACTCTTCCAATGGTACTTCTTTATATAAATAAGAAAGTAGGGATAAGTGCTCCAGTCAATATGAATCACTTAAACCTTCAAGATTAAGAAATCTTAGTTTTGAGTCAAAGTGGACAGTTTAGAACAGTCAACTACTGTATATTCAAAGTCACATATACATCACAAACGGTTAATTCAATCGATAGATTTATCCGAATCTGTGTGAACAGTTTATAAACATTGTAGATTCACATCACTCTAGCTAGACAAGCATTGAAAATCTAGGACTATTGAATAATTGTTTCATCCTAGAACAAGATTCTACAGTAGTATTTATTCATGAACCAAGGCCTTCAGGTCTTATGATAAAGCATTCAACTTTCAAATCACTAAATCAGTATCTAGTGATGTACATGATTTCACATGAATTATTTTGTTTCTATTGGTGATATTTAACATACATCTGACACTATTGAACTCCACTGGTCACAACTTCTTGAAGTAAGCCAATAATAGGAACATAAAGCCTCTTATTGTAGGATCTTGAACAGATTGTTGAATTCATTCTGAAATTCGTAATATAGAAATTTGTAATTGATGCTTACATTGTTTTATTCCTAGGTCGTACTGTTTATATATTAACTGAAGATTATATATCAAATAAACAAATGACCAATCTTATTGGTTGGCGTTTATGGAATCCTGTAACTGGTCAACATTATTCAGTTCATGATGTGAATAATCCATTACGTTCTGTTTGGGGATTAGTTAATTCTGAGAATGTGAGTTTGATTTCTACTTTTATAGAAATATAATTACAATATTCTTATTATTATTGATTGTAGTATGTAATTTATCATATCTAATGTTTATTAATAATCATGCATCTTTCTATCTGTCAATATACACAAAGGAAAAAGCAAGATCCTCAAATACAACATAGAGAACATCAACTTAATTACACTTGATGGCGAAACTCTGGAAGGTGTGGAATCCTTCACGTACCTGAGAAGCATCATCGATCAACAAGGAGGATCAGATGCAGACGTAAAGGCGAGGATTGACAAAGCAAGGACAGCATTCCTACAATTAAAGAACCTATGCAACTCAAAACAACTGTCTGTCAAACAATATCAAACTCAGAATCTTCAATACCAACGTCAAGACAGTTCTGTGGTACGGAGCTGAAACTTGGAGTACTACTACAACCATCAGTAAGAAGGTACAAGTATTTATAAATAGTTGTCTAGGCAATATACTCAATATCCATTGGCCGGATACCATCAGCAACAGCCTTCTGTGGCAGAGTACAAACCAGCTTTCAGATGAAGTGGAAATTAGGAAAAGACTATGGAAGTGGATAGGACATACATTACGCAAATCATCAAACTGCATCACGAGACAAGCCCTAACTTGGAATCCTGAAGGGAAGAGGAAAAGAAGAAGGCCAAAGAACACATTACGTCGGGAAATAAAAGCAGATATGAAAAGGATGAATAACAACTGGAAAGAATTAGAAAGGATTGCTGAAGGAAGGGTTGGATGGAGAATGCTGGTGGGCGGCCTATACTCCCCCACGAGGAGTAACAGGCGTAAGTTAGTAAGATATTTCTATCTATGCTATGCATAAAACTAATGTTGTCATTACTTGGATTCATACATTATGGATGAACGGTAGATAGACATCATATTGTGCAGTGAACAAATAGGAACATAGATTCAACAACTTTATTATATCAAGTATAGAGTATTCTTGTGAATAAAACACAATGGATATATCCCATATTTTGCAAATAATGCTTAACTTATTATTATTATTAGCTTTATTCAATATTATATTATTCGTACAATATAGAATTCTCAGCATAAAGTATTTCAACGAGTTTCCGTTTCTTTCTTCTTGGTCGGTCCTCGCGATAAATACTGAGTGGTCGCCAGCTAGATGTTATCAGTCCAGTAAATGAACATGGGAATGATGTACATTCTTTTCGTTGTATATTGCCAGCAACCATATTCTCTCTTTTTGAGCTTTTTGTAACTTTGATAACGAAAGGTTGTACATTTTTCAGAAATGCAGCAGAATGGGTCATGCGATTAATAAACATAATGATATATTAAAACAAACAAAAATAGATAACTTGTTGAAATATCTCGATGGCAGGAACAGGTAGCCCAGATGCTCAAGCAGGCCGCCAATGTGTAACAAATTTATAATAAACTGTGATGAATCCCTGATCCAAATAATGCGTTCATCGCTAAACTTGAATGTAATACATAAGACGGCAACATACTGGCAGCACGAAAAAATGAAAACAAAATACCTGAAGACCATCTTTCAAATGAACGGCTACTCAGTCAACTTCCTTGAACAAGAAAATACCGACGGAACTCACCATCAAAACAAAGTCAAGTACAGAAACCAACATACGGATCACCCTACTATACATAAGAAGGCGTATCAGAAACTGCAACGAGATTGTTAAAACCTTTAGGAATAGGTGTTGCACACAAATCAACAAAACCACTACAATCAATCCTATGCAAACCAATGGATGAAATGATCAAAGGAAAAAAACCGAACATCATCTACAAAATAAATTGTGCCAACTACAAAAAACGCTAAATCGGACAAAGTGGACCCCCCCCCTCATCGTCTTCGCCTTTATTAAAATCTAATAGCGGTCAAACTCCATGACATATTGTCGCTTATATCAATGCATTTGGGAAACTGTGGACACACGTTCGACTGGATAGAGACAAATCTAAAAACACTAAAGAAGTTTTAGAAGTGAGACCACCATTGAAAACCTGGAAGCGCTGTACGCTCATTTCGCCCCATTGTAAAACTCCTCAGTAGTGCACATCCACGACCCTGTTGGTAGGATTCCAACCCAGGGCCTTCAGTCTCGTGCGCGAACGCTCAACCTCTAGACCAGAATTCAACGATGTTAATGTCTAACAATGAAAGCACCACAACCAAACCATCCTGCTCAGAGAACAAAAAACCATCAAAAACTAAACGCTGTATTTCTACTGAATTAAATTTCTACATTCGTGTAAAATATAAGACAGTAATTTTGAAATGATTGAAGAGATTTTTGTACATATACCAACAAAGACTGGTTAAATTTAATGATAAGTATTATACGACTTGAACAAGTTAGTCGCTATTTGGGGATCAGTAGCTTAGTGAATATCATAAATAATCAAAGCGAAATATACTAGATTCATGACCTAATGTGAATATCAACGTTAGAATACAGATAAATCTGCCCGTTTGATAAATTTCGATAATGCAGTGAGAAGACGTAAGTTATCAGAATTATGTGATGATATATATTTGTGCAATACATTTAGAAAAATCTGATCAAACATATACTTTGTAATGGAGTTTTGTTCTCTGAGCTGGATGATTTGGTCGTGGAACTTTTATTGTTCTTCTGAACGACATCATCCACAGCACAAACTTCAGGTAGAAGTGAAGTGTTCAAATTTCTTCACATGTGGTTCACAGTTTGTCCTGTACTCCTCGATGTTGATTGGTTCTTGTTGACCTTAAATCTGTCATTGTTTATTTCTTTGTTTTGGTTGTATCTCCCACCCCTTCAAACATATACTTGTTAACAGAAGGGGTATTGTGGAGATTTTAGACATTTTTATATGAAAATTAAAAGGTCAATTAGACAGGTTAAAGGTAAACCGTAACAAAGACAAAAATAATAAAGTACACAAAAACAATATGATAATCACTCTGGCTAATAAATCAGTATTACCAGGGTAGGTTAAGGGTAAGGACAAATTGTTTTTGAACGCATAAAGGGGGTTTCAGTTTCTGTATAGAGAAATCTTGACATGAACATGATCCTTTTAAATCAATAAACTGAAATTCATGGGTTCAAGTTTAAGGAATTCGATAGTTTGTACAAAAGATAAGAAACCAATAACATCACAACCTGAATAATCCGTTTTTCTTGAACGTATAAACAATAATCAAGTCAAATACTAGATGACAAATCAGAATAAGAAGTAATCAGACTATGATAGGGAAAGGATCAGTGATAACCAATCAAGATCAAGACTAACAGTGCAAGCTATCTGTTTAACGTTGATAAATTTGGTTTGTGTTTTTTAATGATGATCATGATGATCAGAAGGACAATGAAAGTTTTGTGATTTCAATAATCAATTCCGAGAAGAAACCTTCACTGAAACGAATTACTAGATATTGGATGAGTTTAAGTAAGAGGAGCATATCTACAATTGAAGAACATCTGGAACTCAAAACAACAGTCTGTCAACCAACACCGAAGTCAGATTTTTCAAAACAAATGTGAAGACAGTTCTACTGTATGAAGCGGAAACTTGGAGATCTACGAAAGCCATCATCCAGAAGATACAAGTGTTCATTAACAGTTGTCTACGCAAAATACTTCAGATCCATTGGCCGGACACTATTAGCAACAACGTACTGTGAGAGAGAACAAACCAGATTAGAGAGGAGGAGGAAGAAATAAGGAAGAAGCGTTGGAAGTAGATAGGACATTGAGGAAAGCACTCAGCTGCATCACAAGGCAACCCCTCACATGGAATCGTCGAGACCAAAGGAGAAGTGGAAGACCAAAGAACACATTACATCGAGAAATGGAGATAGACATGAGAAAAATGAACAAGAATTGGATGGGAATAGAAAAGAAATCCCAGTAGAGAGTGGGTTGGAGAATACTGTTCAGCGGCCTATGCTCCTCCATTGGGAGTAACAAGTGTAATTAAGTAAGTTGTTAAGTACCAAACAGAAAGGAAAGTTTGTACCAACTCCAATCCATCTGTCTAACATCAATCGTTTCATGATCTCAATCAAAAACGTAATAATCTCCATAACCCCCATACTAGTAATCAACATGTGCTCACTAGTGACTAGCTTCGTGAGAAAATTCTCGGAGTTCTAGTGAGAAGCTGTGATCAGTGGAGCTAATCCATGTCGGGTAGAGACAGGTATCTACCTCAGTACAATGGAAATTGGTTGCACAATTTAGTGGATTGGTTGATGTTAGACACTATCACCATTGGATTCCTGCTCAGTGGTCCAGTCGGTTAAGCATTCTCTCGTGAGACCGTAGGCCCTGGGTTCGAATCCCGCGGGCGGGATCGTGGATGCGCGCTGCTGAGGGGTTCCACAATAGGACGAAACGGCCGTCAAGTGCTTCCATGTTTCCAAAGGTGATGGTCTAACATCAATCGATTCATGATCTCAATCAAAGATTTAACTTCTATTATTAATTTCTTTTGTTTTTGTATATTGATCTTTCTCATTAAAGATTTTAGCTAATATTCAACCAAAACAAGAACCATGGGAAATAATTTGGGATTTAAATTCAAGAAAACATTGGTTACCTGTTTTTAATAAAACAATATTGATGAATAATAAAGATGATACTAAAAGTTGTGGGATTACACGTTTACCACAAACGATACAACCGGAAAAATTAATTTATAGACATTTAGAACAACATGAAGTGGATTATATTAAATTTGAATTAGAAACTGTACTAAGAGATGCATTAATGGATTGGCGTAAAACAAAAGTATGTTTATATGTATACATATATACATATTTTATTTATTTATTTTGACACACAGATATTGGTACAAGGAGGCACCAAATACATATGCGCCACACGAATCTCATTCGATATGTGCGAGGCCTGTGATACTTCCCAAACCGAAGCAGGTGGTTTTCTTAGGGAGCCACACCCGGAGCCTTCGACCTGAAGGTCTGATCCACAAGGTAGTGGAGCAACGTCAAGAGATGCAGTCCCATGGTTGCCGGTGACCACCGATTGGTTCATATGCTATTTTTTCCCTCACGATACTGGAGCCCATATGCACCATTGGTTTGGAATGAGGGTTTTCCAACTCCCCTAGGTGGACTCTCCATGTCCACCAACCTGGTTAAAGCGCCGGACATTCGATTTTCTTCCTCTCAATTTCGTAAACAACACCCTCGTCACGAGAAGGCAGTAAGTAAGACTTCCCTGGCAGAGGCTATATACGCGTGGCTATGTGTGAGCATTTCGAGAGGTAGAGCGGACTCTCCCCACTCTCGGCCATACCAGGGCATTTAGGGGCTATATATGTGAATATATATATATGAATATGTAATTATTGTGTAGTTTCGGGTTTTCCATGGTGATCTAGCTTATAGCCCCAAAACGCCTTGATATGGCCGAAAGTGCGGAGAGTCAACTCTCCCTCTCGAAATGCTCTAATATAGCCACGTGCATACGACGACTGTCAGGGAAGTCATACTCACTGCCTTCAAAAGGGGGGTGTTGTTTACGAAAAGCCAATTTCCGACGCTTTAACCAGGTTGGTGAACATGGATGGTCTACCTAGAGGAGTTGGAAAAATCTGATTGCAAACCATTGGTGCATATGGGCTCCAGGATCATGAGGGAACAAATGGCGTATGAACAAATCGGTGGTCACCGGCAACCATGGGACTGCATCTCTTGACGTTGCTCCACTGCCTTGTGGACTAGAGCTTTAGGACGAATGATCCGGGTGTGCCCACCCCCGAAAACCACCTGCTTCGGTTTGTGCACCTGGGCAGTATCCTAGCCCTCACACAAATCGATTGATTTATGTGACGCATATTTATTTGCTGCCTTCTTGTACCTATGTTTATGTGTTTAAATAATAATAATAGACTAATGATCTCAACTATTGAAATTACTATAAGATCCGCAAAAACCCCTTCCAATATTAATGAACTTATGCTCACTAGTGACTGGCTTCAAAAGGTACATACTGGAGTTCTGGTGTGAAGCAGTGACCAGTAGAGTTCAACCGGGTCTATTGTGAGATAGTAACTCACTGAAGACAATGGTGAATGTGTCGCTCAATTTCGCGGATTAGTTGAAGTTAGACATTAACACCATTGGATAACAGCTCAATACTCTATTGACTAAGCGTTTACTCGAGAGACCAATAGGTCCTGAGTCCGAAGTTGATGAGGCGGGATCGTGAACACGCTCTGCTGAGGAGTCCCTTAATAGGACGAAACGGCCGTCCAGTGCATTCAGGTTTTTCATGATGGTCTAGCTTCAAATGACTCCTAATCTCAACTATTAAAAAAAAAACTAGACAAATAAAGCATTAGTCACTATTCTGTGGTTAATCAATCATAGATTTTAAGCAATTAGTCTCTTTGATAGTATGATAAGAAGACGAAGATTGTCAGGACTACGTGATATATTAATGCAATACATTTCAAACAATCTAATCACACATATACTTGTTAAGAACATATATATTTGAAGAATAAAAGATCAACTAAACTGGAAATGGGGGGTAAGAGGAGACATGGATAATAAAGAGATAATGTGAAAATATTCCACTTGGTATTGTTTTACTTGAATCTTCTCATTGATGTTTAGGACTGAAATTGAGCAGTCTCTTATTGGCATATGTGCATACTGTTCGTATTGCCTCGATATTGCCTTAATTTACAAGCATTATAAACAAAGATGCAATAGTGCTTAGCAGTGGAAACCAGGACTCGCGTTTCGTCCTATTTGGCACTCGTCAGCTGGACGTACCTGTACCTCAGAGTTGATGTTCACTCGAACTTAATACTGTCCGCTCCTAACACCATCGCGTTATCCACCTAACTACTGAGTCCTGATAGTCACTTGCTTGGGCAATGGGGTGAAGTTTAATTCATTTGATATTGTTTTACTTGAATCTTCCCATTGATGTTTAGAACTGAAATGGATCAGTCTCTTATTGGCATATATGCATACTGTTCGTATTGCCTCGATATTGCCTTAATTTTCAAGCATTATAAGCACAAGCAAGTGGCTGTCAGTAATCGGTAGCTAAATGTATACCGCGATGGCGTTTGAAACGAACGCTACTGGGTTCGGATCCCAGAGTAAACATCAACTCTCAGTTGCACGTACATCCAGCTAACGAGTTCCAAATACGACTAAGTGACGCACACTCTGGATTCCACTGCTAGCCATTATTCCATCTTTGCTTATAATTTCTTTAAAATTCTTATGCTTCATAAAGAATAACCATTTATTCATACGAATTCTTCTTTCATATTTAGATAACAAGACTCAATTATGAATTTATGAAAGACTTTAATAAAATGCTTGAAAAGTAAGACTATTAAAAACAATTAGATTTTATTATTTTATTTATCAAAACTTTTAAAAGGATACCATTTTGAGACTAACTGAATAATCTGAAGATTAGATGCTTACTGTGAGATGTAACGATCTAAAGTGTAATTGATAGTATGTTCATGCACTGCTGCTGAGCAATCACATTTTAAGATGAAACCGTTGTAAAGTACCCTATTGTTTTACAATGGTTAGTATATCACGTAACTAAATCGCTCATTGAAACATGACTTAATGACTTTGATATTGTATCAAACCAATGACATGATAACACAGTACAAGAAGCCTAGAGTCAACTCTGATTCTTGATTGACTCTTTCAACTAACCCTGTCTATTTGAGCCTAGAACACTGCTTCTACTATATGGATCATATATTTTGAACATACTTGGTTTATATACAAACAGACCAAACCATATCATACCATACCATCAAATAGGAAATAACATTTCTATAGGATCAAGCCAAAAAAGTGGCAATGATTGTAAGAAACTGTAGCTAATACATTGGGAATAAGTTATGATTGGTAAATTGTATAATAGTAGTCTAGATGTCAAATGGAAGCTTATAATAAAAGGAATATGAATACACATATGATATAGTTACTTAATAGTTATCCAATAAGAATATATGTATAATATTAGTGTATAAATAGATCCTAGCATTTACCGTTCATTTATTATTCGTTAGGTATATAACATTAGTCACCCTAGATTGATTGTTGATGATAAGACACTTTACATTTCTATTTTGATTCATAGCAACTGATAATTCTATCGAAGCGTCTAAGTAACCCCGATTGAGATACGCGCAAAATCGAAGTTCCAAAACAACTATTTGTCTACAAAAGCGGTTCTTTATTAAATAATACACTAAATTTAGTTACAAACCTCAACTTGTGAGGTGTCTAGGCGTTCAAATGCGTCCTTCAAGAATGAAGATAACAAAGGCTTCCTGTAAGAGTAACATAAAGAATAATTATAACATACGATAGTACAAAAGATAGCTGATAGCTGTGTCTAAATTTGATAACAGTTTATGAGCAACCGAAACTCGAACCAAGAGCAAAACAATATGGAAAGTGTTGCGCTTAAACAAATGCACAAAACAGTGGATAACGGCTACAGTGATTAAGATACAGTAATTATAATGATAAATACAATGATAAGTAAAATAAACGTTATAAGTATATGTGTACATTTCAGAATATTACAGTACAACTTGCGTTACAACATAAGTCTGAAAATTGTTGAGCATACAACTGCTTACTGAATATAAATAAGTAGTATAAAGCAACATACAAAAGCGTAGAAAAGGAACGTGTAAGAACAAAGTAAGACAAACTTAACAGCAACTTTTAAATGTTAGACTACTGATAATATTTAAGTATATTTTCATTTTGATATGAAAGAAAGAGGAACGAATAAAGATAAGAACTTTCTATTCAATTAGTTTTTCCTCATAGCTATACACTAATAAAACAAATGAATGGTTTACAAAAATGTAATCGTATCAATATGTGATTGTAGAGATTATTATGTTTGTAGTGTGGTGTCGAGTCGCGGTTGACTATGATCACCACTACAGGAAGACTAGGTGCCAGTTAACCAACAAGATCCCTTGTAGGCCAAATATCAGAAGGCAGTTGATGGCTGTAGTCGAGATGTATTTGCTGGCGATCTCGTGGTATCGAACGGATACCGAAATCGTGCCAGGTTACAAGTGGGGTTACTGAGCGTAACCGAATTCGTGTAAGGTCACAATCAACGGGAGAATGTATGTATTTTGGTACAGTTAAACAAACAAGTATAGTAAAACAATCACTGGTACAATTGGTTATAATAATAATTGTTTTCATTAAACCAATCGCGTCCTCTTGATAAAAGTAGGTCACTATATGTTTTTGATTGACATCATGAACCGGTTGATGTTAGGTCCTATTGTTGGATTCCTCAACAGTGCGCATTTACGATCCCGCTTCACGTGCGAACACTTAACCTTTAGATTACTGAGCCAATTGGTATCCAACGGTATTAATGTCTAATTTCAACCAGTTCACGAAATTTAGCCATCGTCCACCATTGTCATCAGTGAGTTACTATCACAAAAAACGACCCAGTTGTGCACTCCACTGATCACAGCTTCTCACTAGAACTCCAGTAAATAACTCTTGGAAACAGTTTCTAGTGAGCAATGCCCACTGTTGAGGAGTCCCACAATAGGATGAAATAGCCATTCAGTGCTTCCAACTTTTCCATAATGGTCTAGCTTTGGTTGACTCATAAAGTCAATCATTAAATAACTACAATCTCCATAAAACTCCTATGTGATATATGTATTTAAATGATGTACTGTTTATACAAATTTTATATATATAAAAGAAGTTCACGGAAGTATCTATATATGTTTACTGTTTCAGTTTAGAGAAAAATAATGGTGCATACTATGATGGATTAAATCAATTACTTGATCGAATTTCTAATAAATATTATGTAAGTCTGATAAACATCGGATCTAATTTACAATGATTGTTAGTGTTATAATAGAAAGAAAGAACATAAAAATATGTGTACAAAGGGGCATCAGATACATATGGGCCACATAATAACAATGAGGCTGTGAAGTGATAGAGAATGTAAAGTGCGTATAAGAAAAAGGTACAACAAGATTGTCACTAACTTTTATTCTGAACCATATCTGATAACTTCTTAAGCCACTGTGATGCGTTTTCTCTAGGACCCCAATTAAGAAGTCATGAAGCATCATTAGAAGCCAGTCCTGTACAGCTTTCTTTCATACCGCGATAATATGTCATACACTGACCACCTCTCCACTTTTTTCAACCAGTCCCAGTGTCAGCAAATAATGCATGACATGAAATTCTCTAGGACGACATTTGTAGATCATATCCAAACCGCCGAAATCGATGTTTCAAAATAGTGACATCAATTGAATTATTGTTGCTGTGCCCGAATACACGATACCGAACCTCTGCATTACATATTTGATGTTGCCACTGGATGTTAACAATCCTTCGGAGACAACGATGATTAGACACAAAGAGTCGTCTAACATCCTCAACTCGGAGAGTTAAGATACCTCAAACATAGAGTAAAACTGCCCTTACTAACGCATTGTAGATCTGATCTTTTACAACCAGACTAAAACCACGAATGTAACAAAGATGATCTTCACACTTAAAGTTCCACTCGTAACGAAGCACATGAATCTATGACCAATAAATAGTATTTATGTGCCTTTTCTATCATTTAATCAAACATAACGTATATTATTACTTAAATAACCTACTAAAAGTTTATACAGAATATAAATAATACACATTCCTTCTTATCATATTATAAACACATACAGATTTATGGATTCCCAATGAATTTCTCATATATGGAACCTGATGAAATTATTGCCAGAGTAAAATCAAAAGGAATTCATGAATTAATTGGTAATGAATTCATAACAACATCTAATATTATGGATCTAAGTCAGTCAATACAACAAAGAAGTTCCGTGATGAATTTTTCAAAAACCACATTAAATAGTGTAACAGATTCAGTATTTAGTTCAAAACCATCATTAACTTCATTACGATTATTACAATCAGATTCATTAAATGTTCAATTTGCATTAAATGTCTATGTGAAAGCTTATCCAGGACCAGTTCTATCTATATGGATATATATGGCTGCATTATGGCGACGTACTATAACAGAGTTATCATAGTACCACAAGAAGAAGAAGCAGAAGAAAAATCCCAGTTTCTAATGGATAATACTTCAGCATTTCATAATTTTGTAATAAACCTACACATGTTTACCTTAAACTAATACTAATACGTGAAAAATCGTTCTTGTAAAGTAATAGAATGAATTCACTTGGTGTTGTTTAATTGTCACTTACTTACTTATGCCTGTTACTCCTAGTGGAGCATAGGCCGCCGACCAGCATTCTCCGACCCACTCCATTCTGGGTCTTCCTTTCCAGTTCTATCCTATTTTTGTTCATTTTCTTCATGTCTACCTCCATTTCTCGGCATAATGTGTTCTTTGGTCTTCCTCTTCTCCTTTAGCTTGTATCTTACGATTATTGTTTAGGACTGCAATTGTTGTCATATGTGCATCCTGTCTCAATATTGTCACAAGCTTTATGAGCAAAGATGGATAGTGGTTAACAGTGGAATCCACGACGAGCGTTTTTTCCTACTTGGGACTTGTCAGATGAACATACATGCACTTGGAACTCGAACCCAGTATCGTTTGCTTCAAAAGACTGATCAGTTGCAGTCTTAAACAGTCTTAAACTTCACCTCATCGCACAGTTTGCATGTCAATGTAAAGGTATGTATATTGGAAGGACAGAAAAGCAGGTTTTCATATGCTTTGTTGAAGATATTACAAAGAACGTATCTTTTCAAGAGTAAGATACTCTTCGCAGATCTATAATGCTATATCTGACTGAGATCGAAGATGAAATGGACGAGATAAATGCATTCTACATCATCGAAATTCGAAAAAAGTCACAGCAATTAGAAGATTTAAATGTGACTTTTGAATTTAAAGTGTATCAGTGGTTGAATTTCACTCTTAGACATTCCATGTTGTGTGGAGTCCTATATTAGGACGAAACGGCCAATCAGTGGTTCCAGATTTTCAATGGCAGTCCAGCTTAGATTGACTGGTGAATTCACCTTTTGAAATACTACAATTTCCCCCAATCCCCATTCTGATAATATTCATATGCTCACTAGTGACAAGGTTCAAGCTGTAACCAGTTGAGTTCAATCCGTATCCGGTATGAGACAGTTACCCACCTCAGACAATGGATGAAGGGTTGCGTAGAATCAAGGATCGATTGAAATTAGACATTAACGCCAATGGATACCGACTTAAAGGTCTAGAGATTAAGCGTTGTATGCGTGACCAAAGGTTCTTGGTTAGATATCCATATGCGGGATCTTAGATAAACGCTACTGAGAAGTCCCATACTATATAAATAATTGAATTTGCAAACATTTCATTTTTCTTCATTTAGTGTTAATTAATAGTTATATATATAACCAATCTATTGAACAAGGATGTAATATACAAACAATGTAGATACATATCTAAGAGAATACAACTAATATGTATATACACAATAATAAATAGCCCCCAAATACCCTGGTACTGTCGAGAGTGGAAAGATTTCACTCTCCCTCTCGAATGCTCTCACATGGTCACTTTCACAAAAGTTCTACTAACTGCCTTCTCAATGTGTGGGCTGTTGTTTACAAAATAAAGAGGATGAAAAGCGAATGTTCGACACTTTAACCGGTTGGTGGACACGGTCTATCTAGAGCAGTTGGAAAACCCTGATTGCAAACTGATGGTGCTCATGATCTCCAGTATCCTGAAGGAACAAATGGTGTATGAACAAATTGTTGGTAACCGGCTACCATGAAACTACATCGCCCTACATTGTTTCCCTATCTTGTAAATCAAACCTTCAGCTGGAATGCTCTAGATGTTACCCTCCCCACAGAAAACCACCTATTTTGATTTCAGCATCCAAGCAACATCATGGCATACACATAAATCAAGTGACTTATGTGACGCATATCTTTTAAGTACCCCATTGTACCTAGTCCACCAGGGTGCTTGATATCTGTGTGGTCACGCCACACGATTGAGCTGTACTATTCAGATTTTAGTGTTAAAGCCTATACAATATCTGGTTCTCCTGTGAAACAGGATTGAGTTGTACTGTTCGGGTTGTCATGTAAAAGTCTGGGTGATATCTGGTTCCATTGAAAATCAATGTAAAATTACCCTGACCTACAAGAGTATTTTATATAACTATGAGCTATAACCCCTTACTTACTTACGCCTATTACTCCTAATGGAGCATAGGCCGCCGACCAGCATTCTCCAACCCACTCTCTCATGGGCTTTCTTTTCTAGTTCCATCCAATTCTTGTTCATTTTTCTCATGTCTATCTCCATTTCTCGACGTATTGTGTTCTTTGATCTTCCACTTCTCCTTTGGCATTGACGACTCCATGTGAGGGCGTATCTTGTGACGTAGTTCGATGCTTTCCTCAATATGTGTCCTAACCACTTCCAGCGCTTCTTCCTCCGCTGGTATCTGGTTTGTTCTCTCCTACAGTAAGTTGTTGTTAATAGTATCTGGCCAACGTAACTATAACCCTATTGTACCAATGTTTATGTGTTCAAATAATTAAATAAAAACAATAGTAAATATTGATTAATTCTATAATTAACTTAAGAGAAATCATCATCAGCATACAACTTATTGTACGATCTCTTCTTCTTCTTCTTCTTTTCTCTTTTTTCTTTCTTTTCTTTTCTCTTTTTTCTTTTTTGTTTTTTTTGTTTTTTATAGTAAACTATGATGAAGTTGTTAATAGTTCATTTGCTGTTTTTTCTTTAAATGAAGTAAACGAATTATTACATAACTGAATATATTGAATATGGTGATTATTAACCATAGTAATAAATAGTATAGAAAACGATATAGAATTGATAGTATATCAGAATCTGGTAATTCTATATAATCATTTAATGAATTTGTTATCTCTAAGCTAAAAAAAATATAGAGAAAATAGAGAAGAAAAAAGAAAGAAAAAAAAGAAGAAGAATAAAGATGAATCAAGTATATTTGAATGATAACTTTACTGATCTTGAAAGTTTGATTAGCTCTAATGAATTAGTGTGTTTAACGAAATCTTAGCATAGATTCGAAAAGTTTGTTTGGCTTTTGTCAACTTATGTCTTTTATGATGAAGGTGAGATATCCGGCTATCAATTAATGGATGAGTATACTGCGCAACAGTTCGTTCTGTTCTACTTTACGACTACGAAACATGGCCATTAAGAGTTAAAGATACTAGTTAGCTACTAATATTTGACCACAGATGTCTTAGAACTATTGCTCTCATCTACTGATATCGCCGGGTAAGTAATAGTGAGGTTAGACGCACGGTTTTAGGGAATGATGGTAAATCAGTTGATGAGGTTGTGAATCTTTGTTGACTGAGATTGTCGGGCCACCTGTTACGTATGCGTGAACACCGATTACTACGAGGTGCAATGCTAACCGGCGTTGGAGATGGTTGGAAGAAAGTTAGGGGCGGCCAAACTAAAACATGGAATCAGTGCTTGAAGTCACTAACTTCTAGTCTGAGCCATGTTGGTAGATGCAGACTACTTGGTTAGAATCCGCGTGACTATCGCAACCAATGATTGGAGACTGTGCGTGACATTGCTCAGAATCGATCACAATAACTGAGGTGTATACACTCTCTGTTTTCCTTTAAACTATGAGATTAAAATTGTTTTATATCTTTCTTTCTACGAACTAATTCTTTCCTTTTGAACTATGTCCTTATATGCTATCTTTCTTTGTATATATTACCATCATTGAATTAACTACTTCTATGAATCCGGTGTTCATCTTGTTATGTAAATGAGGTATGGCAACTTGGACAGATGCATATATATACCTGCTCCTACGTTGTAGCTGACTGACTGACTGATTTGAAAGATGGGTTTAATAGAATGAATACTTAACTCTCTCTTTCTCTCTCTTACTATGTTCATCTATTACATATGGTTTACATTTGTGACAGGATGAGATATTATGATATTTGTCAAGTAGAATGTATTTAGCACATCCAAAATAAATTATAGAATCGAAAAACAAAAAAACTCTTTAATTGAGATCATGAACTGATTGATGTTAGACTACCATTCAAAACCTGGAAGCCTTGGACGGCTGTTTCATCTCAGTATAGGACTTCTCAGCAGTGAACATCCACGACCTCTTACGTAGGACTTGAACTGTGGACTTTCAGTCTCGTGAGCTAATGCTTAACCTCTAGACTACTGAGCCGGTCGGCATTCAACGGTGTTAATGTCTAACTTCAACTAAGCCATCAAATTGACCCACCGTCTACCATTGTCATCAGTCAGTTACTTTCTCACAACAAAACAGATTGTGCAAATGTGAGTATATGTGTATCACGTGACCATATCATATATAATAAAAAATGAACTTACTATGCAATGTATATACTAATAAACATACAACAAGGAATGTACGAAACTAAAAAGGGAATTCGTTTTGGTTTCCATAGTAATGCATCAGTAATAATCACGATTACGCCCATGGAATTCTGTCAAAATATATAAAAGTAATTGGAAATAGGAATCAATCATTAACGTTAAGCAATTTCAACAATGATTACTATAGTAATTTAATAGTTCAATTCATGAGTTAATTCAAGCTAGATCACCATGGAAAACCTGGAAGCACTAGACGGCCGTTTCAGTTGTGCGCGCGAACGTTTAACCTTTAGACCACTGAGTATCCAACTATGTTAATATCTAACCTTAACCAATGCAAGAATATGCGTGACCATCTTCCATTGTACTGAGATAGATTAGCTACCCTGGTTACGGCTTCTCATTAGAACTCCGAGAATTCCTTCACTAAGTTAGTCACTAATAAACACATAGCCATCCAGTACTTCTAGGTTTTCAATGATGACCTAACATCAACCAATTTATGATCTTAATCAAAAACTTACTAATCTTCACAATCCCATACTTATATCAAGAATGCAGTTGAGATATTGCGAATATACATTATTATTTATTATTATAAATAATCTATTCAGTGTTCATTATCAAGTTAAACGATATTAGTACGATTTCATATTGAACTGCTTTGAATCTGATAGACATAAAGTTAAATGAAGTTTCTTTCTTCCTGTACCATATCCTTATATGCATTCTTTCTTTTATATATTACACCATCATTGAATTAACTACTTCTATGAATCTGGTGTTCATCTTGTTATGCTAATGAGGTATAGCAACTTGAACTAATGAACATATATGCCTGGTTCTACGTTGTAGCTGACTGACTAACTGAAATGAACCTGATTGTCAAAGTTATTTGTTTGAACAGAGGTTTCTTTTTTCTTATTGATTAATTGAATTGAAAGATTTTAGATTTATCTTTTTAATAATCTATATGAAAGAGAAATCTTGAAATACCATTGCTGATGATTTCCATTCTAAGTTTCACAAAGTGTGTATTATCTACACTTTGTGTGAATTAATTGTTCTATCTCTATAATCTAATTCACAATTGTAGGTTGAATATTGTGCAAATATGGATATTTGTATATCACGTGACCATATCATCCATTGTCTCTATCGTATCGTATTATTGTTGTATATAGCTAATATCTTTACTTAACGTATTATCATATGGTGACATCGATTTTATATTGATCTATAAAACGCCGCTCAATATCCATTGGCTTGATACCATCAGCAATAGCCTTCTGTGGGAGAGAACAAACCAACTTCCAGCTGAAGAGGAAATTAGGAAAAGACGATGGAAATGGATAGGACATACATTACGCAAATCATCAAACTGCATCACGAGGCAAGCCCTAACTTGTAGGGAAGAGGAAAAGAAGAAGGCCAAAGAACATATTGCGTCGGGAAATAGAAGCAGATATGAAAAGGATGAATAGGAACTGGACGGAGCTAGAAAGGATTGCCCAGGACAGGGTTGGATGGAGAATTCTGATGAGTGGCCTATACTCCTTCACGAGGAGTAACAGACGTAAGTAAGTAAGTAATAAAACGCCGATCAATAGAACATCAGTTCATGATGGATGTGACAAGTTACTCAGTTAGATGATGATCTTCTAACTTGATCTATAGAATTCAAGCAATAACTAAAAGACTAGGCATACTTGATTAATTGTCATTCAGTGACCGATTATTTTAAAAGGCTCAGTCTGATAAGAGGTTAGTTGCGTCCTGGATAATTCAACAATCACATCCTAATCTGTGATATCAACTTATACCATTTCGAATACTGCAATAAACTCTAGTTTCCTCAATACTGCAGATATTCCTTGCTGACAAATGTCAACCAAAATGAAACATTGATTTCTGGGCTTTTTACACTTTATCTGTAACAATCAAACATCTAAGAATAGTTTGTGGGATGATGAATTATTGAAATCGATGTTAGTTATGTAAGTTAATTGAATCAATTTGATTAGAACCAAGTGCTTTACTAGAGTATCAATGGTTAGTAATCACTGATCAACGAATTGTAATCGTCTCTAACCTCTTTCATATGTGCATACTTAAATATTAGCCCGCAAATGCCATGGTACGGGTGAGAGTGGGGACAGCTAGCTCTCCTTCTCGAAATGCTCTTAAGTGTCACATGCATATAACCACTACCAGGGAGGTCCTACTCAATGCTTTCTCGTGGCGGGGTGTTGCTTACAAAGTTGAGAAGACGAAAAGCGCATTTCCGGTGCTTTAACCAAGTTGGTGGATACGGCGGACCTTTGGGTCAAAGGTTTTGGGTGTTAACCCCTAAATAAACCACCTGATTCTGTTTGGGCACCTGGGCAGTATCTCATCCCTCACACAAATCGAACTTAAACACTATATATATTTGGAAGTAGTACTCATTAGTAAATCGAGTGATTTTATTCATAGTTTTCATCTAACAAGTTGAATCATTTGTAGTCAACAAGAAACACAGTACTATTCAGGTTGTGTACTATCGATCACTTGTCGACTAGCTATGTATGTAATCCTGAGAGGGTTATACTCGCTATCAGATTCGATCCCATATCACCCAGCTTCATGGTCATAGACATTACCATTAAACTATCTGAATTACAGTTAGGGACTTAGACGTATTGACTATTGGTCGATCGAATCCTTTAGGAAGCATTAGTTTTCTCAATATTTCAGGCACAAATGTCAGACATGTGCCAAATACCACGAAACCTGGATTATACATGGTTTCCTGTCAACTACCCTAGACCATCACTTTACATCTCAACAATGTTCAATCACTTCGTACCATAGATAACTTGATCGATAAAAGTTGATCAACGATATGAAACATTTAATACACATAACTATGGTGACTACTAAATGACTAATGAATTATGAATGATTTTTTGATTAAAATGATGAACCGTTTGATATTAGTCTACCATTGAAAACCTGGAAGCACTGAGCAACCGTTTCGTCCTATTATAGGACTCCTCAACAGTTTCACACATGAAAGCTTAAACTCTAGACCACTGAAACAATGAATAATTTAGAAATGATTATAAATTTAAGAATGATAGTATACAATCAACTTACAATAAAATGCAAATAATATAATGGTAATTTATTCAATTCCGGATTCTCGATTATTATATTTGAATCAATGAAATATACCATCCAATAGATATGAAATGATGTCTAATTGAATCCAATAATGAAATGATATAGATAATGTATATAGAAGACTTACCAAAGTATAAGTAGCTATAAATATATATATACAACTATGTATTGTATACTGTTTGTACCATTGAAATGGAGTTGATGTAATCAAGTATAATTGTAATAAACACTATAATAGAATAATATGAATCAATTATTACCATCATGAATATGCTTTGAATAGTGATGATGCTTTGCATGATGATGATGATGCTTTGATGATGATGATGATGATGATGCTTTGGATGATGATGATGGTGATGCTTTGGATGATGATGATGCTTTGGATGATGATGATGATGCTTTGGATGGTGATGACGATGTAATCAACTTACCAATATGATAAAATGTAAATATTTCATTAATTTTATTATATTTATGAATTGAATTGATTCATTTGGATATAAATAATAATGACCAATTATTATAGATAATAGAATATTGATGCAATTCAATGATCGATATATAATGGTAACAGTGAACCAAAATGTTTGAACTGGTTTCATTGAAAAAGACAAAATGAAATGTGATCAATTCAAGGAACAAGTAAAGTTCTATCCTTTTCTTTCTGGTATCTACCTGGGTATATATATATATACCTATTTTGTAGTACGATATTATATAATATTGATTTTAGTCTAATTAGCAAATTAATTACATTTGTATATAGTTAACTATTATCAGACATTATTGACCTATTATGGTGGTGGTGCTGATGACGTTGACAATGATAATCATTATTAGCATTCCATATATTTAAATCGAAGTGTTGAGAATTCATTTTTTGATTCTGTTTATCAATTTACTTACTTAATTACTTACTTACTTACTTACTTACTTACTTACTTACTTACTTACTTACTTACTTACTTACTTACTTACTTACTTACTTACTTACTTACTTACTTACTTACTTACTTACTTACTTACTTACTTACTTACTTACTTACTTACTTACTTACTTACTTACTTACTTACTTACTTACTTACTTACTTACTTACTTACTTACTTACTTACTTACTTACTTACTTACTTACTTACTTACTTACTTACTTACTTACTTACTTACTTACTTACTTACGCCAGTTACCCACAATGGAGGAGCATAGGCCACCGATCAGTATTCCCCAAATGATTCTGTTCTAAGCCTTTTTTCTAATTCTATACAGTTGTTGTTCTATCTTGTGATGTCTGTCCCTAACCTACTTTTATCAAGAGAACGCAATTGGTATAATGGAAACAATTATTATAACCAATTTTAACAGTTATTGTTTTACTGTACTTGTTTGTTTAACTATACAAAAAGCATACCTTCTTCTGTTGATATTGACCTTCCACGCTCTCGGTTACGCTCAGTAGTTCCACTTGTACTCTTTGGCACGATCTTGCTATTCTTTCGATACCACGAGATTGCCAACAAATATATCTTATTACAATCGTCAACTGCCTTCTTGTTTTTATACTACGATGGGATCCAACCTAATAACTGGTACGTAGTCTCAGTGTAGTGGTGATCATAGTCAACCGCAACTCGACACCACACTACGACGCTACAACTGGTAAGCCAAATCCAATTCTCTACACAGTGTCTTGTTTGGCCCTACTATTTTTCATTTTCATTTAGGATTCCAAGTGAGGACTTATTTTGTGAAGTAGTTGGGTACTTTCATCAATGTGTGTCCTACTCAATTCCAGCGATTCTTCTTGATTTCTTACTCCATTGAAATCTGGTTTGTCCTATCCCAGAGTAGTGTGTTGCTGATAATATCCGGTAAACAGACGTTGGGTACTTTGCGTAGACAACTATTTATAAATACTTGTACTTCTTTGATGATGGTTGTGTTAGTTTTCTAAGTTTCAGCTTCGTACAGTAGTACTACCTTGACGTTCGTACTGAAGATAGTGACTTTGATGTTGACTGACATTTGTTATGAGTTTCATGTGTTCTTCAACAAAACGAATGTGGTTTTTGCTTTGCCAAGCCTTGCCTTCACATCTGAATCACATCCTCCTTGTTTATCGATGTTGCGTGTCCATGTACGTGGAAGTTTCCACATCAAACACATCTCTGACAAGTATGATTGGTTTGGTGTTCTCCACATTGTATCTGAGAATGTTGCTTTTTACCTTGTGTATTTCGAAATCTGCTGGTGAAATGCTTGCTGTTAAAATGTATGTCATGATCTGTATTTATTGAGAGAGAAGTACCAGTTCATTGACAAATTTCATATCGTCTATTTGAACGCAAGCTGTCCATTGATTTCTCACTGAATCACAATATTCACTTTCACCACAAAGTTTTCTTACAATCTGTCAGCGTGAATGCAATCGATAACTACCCAAATATAATCTCCGATTCAAGTAAGGGAATAGAATAAGAAATTTCGAGACGAAATTATAATAATGACAAGAACGATTCATGACACAAGTGATAGTGAGCCATTACACATATCAATACTCAGGTGTAACGTAATCTTCTACAATCCTTGATTACAATGTCCACTTGGATAACAGTACATTAAAGGGAAAGTGATCATCATGGAAATAACACGATAATGATTAATTCAATAAGAACCATAATTGTTCATTGTTAATAACTGTATTTGTATTGTCTAACATCAACTCTACTTAGTCGTTACTACTTGTGTATAACATACTACTCACTGATATTCAACAGTTGATTTTTCTCTCGATAATTTTGACAGTTGTAAATTACAATGTAATGTAATTGAAATATGTAGATAGTTCTAAGGTTTCGTATTAATCACTGAATTTTCCACAAACCATAATGTATGTCCTATCCACTTGAAGAATCTTTTCCTAATTTCTTCCTCAGTTGGAAATTGGTTTGTACTTTCACACAATAGGCTACTGCTGACGGTATGCGGCAAATGACATTGAGTATCTTACGCAAAGAAGTGGTAATAAATACGTGTAATTCCTGGATGATGGTTGAAGTAGTTCTCCAAATTTTATCTCCGTACTATAGAATTGTCTTGATGTTTTTATCGAAGATTGTGATTATTGCTGGATTGCAGACAATTGTTTTAAGTTCCATATGTACTTCGGCTGTCGGAATGGATTGTTAGTCAATGCCTTCACATTTTAATCAGATCCTACTTGTCCATCGACGACACTTGTCTATGTACGTGGAAGTTTGTACTTCAAACATGGTTACTCAATCGAGTGTGATGGGATTGTTGTTCTAAGTGATGTAATTCAGAGTGTTACCTACTCATTTCGGTATGTTGAGGACTACTAATTAAGTGGGTATTGAAAATATGATTATTTACTCCATTTCCTACTGTGAATGGGATAGAAAAGACAGGTGGAATTGGGAAGTACAAAAATCTAGTTGACTGAGATCTATCAATTGCACGCCCTGTTACACGAGGCAGCTCAGTTGTCCAGATCTTATTTCTTTCGCTAATTCATCAGCTAGCCTTCTTTCTAGTCTCTCTTACCAGCACCTCTTCTTCTTCTTCTTCCAAAATCGTTCTCAACAGAACGTTATGTAATGTTATGTAATTGAAATACGTAGATAATTTTAACATTTCGTATTCATCGCTGTCGTTACCATAAACCGTACACCTTTACATGAGAATGGGAGTCATATTTGGAATTTCGTATTTTTGTCATTTTCTCCAAATGAATGCCAAATCACTTTCCAGAATGACCAGTCTATGGAAATTCAGCATCGGCTGGACAATAGAAGTCGTGTAGAATAAGCACTGAGAAGGAATCTAGTGTAGATATTCGCCTAAGGCAAATCAACATCCCATTCGTGTAGACGAAGAAAGTCCTTTGGTTTATAGACGGATATCTCGCCTACGCCATAAATGACGCAAGTTGGCGAAAGCTAGTTGAGCCTCCTGTATCCATGCTGAGATTTCATCACACATCAGACCACAAGGGCTGATGAGATCACCAAGGTAAGTGAAGCGGTCGACATGCTCAACTACTTCACTCCCTATCATTAGTTCAGGTGTCGATGCAACTCAATCCTGAAGTAACAGTTCGCATTTCGAGGGGGAGAATCGCATGCCGAACATGCTTGCATTGTTGCTTAGAGTGGTCAGAAGACTCTGCGTTTTGTCAGCGTCTTCACCAAATAAAACTATGTCATCTGCATATTCTAAGTCAACAAGTGAACCTCCCGGTAGAAGTTCAACCCCTGGAAATTTAGATGAGGAGAGTGTTATCTCTAAAAGTACGTCGACCACAAAGTTGAACAAGAATGGGGAGAGTGGACAGCCCTGACGAACACCACTTGAGGTAATCAATTCTGATGACAGTTCGCCATAAGCTCTCACTCTACCAGTTGTGTTCGAGTAGAGAGCCTTTATAAGGTTAATGTACTTCTTTGGTACTCCTTTCAGTGACAAACACTGCCATAGAACCTCACGATCAACAGAGTCGAATGCCGCCTTAAGGTCGAGAAATACTACCATTGTGGGGCGTCTGAATGTGTGTCTGTGTTCTAGAACCTGACGTAGTGTGAATATCTGATCTATACAACCACGTCCAGGTCGAAAACCAGCCTGATTCTATCTAGTCTGTTCTTCACGGGCTTTGATTAGGCGTCGAAGTATTATTGAGGCTAATATTTTAGACACTATATTAGTCAAACTGATTCCTCTGTGATTGTCACAAGAGGACTTTTGTCCTTTCTTATAGACTGGCACAATCAGTGATTGAGACCAGTCAGATGGGATTACGTCCAGTTCCCAAATTCTACCTAAGACCTCAGTTAATTTTCTTGCTAATACTGGACCACCATCCTTAAAAATCTCAGGAGTAAACCTGTCAGGGCCTGCTGCTCTCCCTCGCTTCAGATTTCCTATGGCTTTTTCAACTTCTTAATCTGTCGGAGGACCTACATTAACTTGCCATTCAGGTAGACTGGAGATCGTGAGAAACCAAAGTGTGGTTGAAGGCCAGTTGAACTGATCCCTAAAATGTTCTGCCCATCCATCCAATCTGCTGAATTGAAAATGTATAATATGTCCATGCTTTTCTGAGATTGTTTCGCTGACAGTCGTGTTCCTACTAACGGTTTCCTCAACAAGTCTGAACGGTTGTCCGCTGTTATCTATTGCCACTGTCTTTTCCACCCATCTGTCTTGCTTTCACTAACCACCACTGTTCACGATCACTGCGTAGGCTTCTTGTCAGCTTGCGCTCAAGTTGACTACGCCCTTTGTTATGTTCAGTGCCAGATGGAATGAGTCTTCAAGCATCTCTCACTGCGGTAGATGCTGATGAGATCCAGTGTTTCTCTCTAACCTTACGGTTTACCGTACTTGCAGATATCACTGCTGTTTCTACAGATTTTCACATACCATTCCTCTCTGGCTCAGGGTGGGCATCACATACATGGCTGCCTAACTGTTCTTCTAGTTGTT